AGAAGGGGAATCATTGCTAGCCCCCATTTCCCAACTTCCCAACAATCATGTCCCCTGCACCTACGTCAACGCTGTTATCAACCATGTTGCCCTTAATTCCATGATGTCATCTACCCTGCTCTGTTCCTTGTTCTGTACTCCCCAAACCCTATAAAAGGGGGAGCTGTCCTTTTGCTCGGGGTCTTTGGCATTAATGGAGGCAAGCCAGGCAATCATTTACTGACAGGTAGCATGCCCCTGTTAATCAATGCTATCTTGCTCAGAGATCTGCCTCAGTTTACCCTTTTGTTAAAATCTCAATTGTGATACCATGGTACAATAATGTTTCTCTTACTCCTCCTTCTAATTTCCAGTAACCAAATCAATATAATAAAAAACAAACAGCTGATACAGCATGGCAAAATGGAAGGAACACTGTAGAAGGAAAGAAACTTCTAATCTCCATTATTAAAAGGTATTTAAGTAGCTGTATGTGGCTGTTGGGGGGGAGGGGCAGTTGCTTCATCTGTAAAAGGGAAATACTATACTTTTATCAGTTTGAAGGCAGGGAAGCTCTACCAATAATCTCCTACCGTGTTCCAAGTGAGTCTCTCTCCCTTCAGCCTCAATGTCTGCTAGAACGAATGAACTTCACAGGCTTTTTATTTTTGCATATTTATACTTTTGCTAACCCTACCTCCTCAAAATGAAACTGCAGTCATTCAACCATGGAGATACTTTTACTTTTGGTGATCATACAAAGAGTAAAAAATTTCTTCCTATCAATTTTTATTAAGTATACACTCATCAAAATTGAGAGACCCTCAAAAAGACCACAGGAAACAAAAGGGAAAAGGTAGGGGGAAGGGAGGCTGATTATTTTAAAAAGAGTCCAGGTATCTAATAAAATGTATTCTCCCTCACTAAAATGAATTTTAACTCTATTGGGATCTGGCAGAACTATCTTTGCTGATGTTCCTTCTAAATTCTCAACATCCTTGTTTTCAATAATTTCCTTAAAGGAAATCACATTATTCAAGATGGCTTAAAAATCTAGTATTACCTTCACCTGGGAGGTGGGGCTGACAGTCCATTTCTTCCTAGGAAGTTATTTTATTATACCTGTTCGATTATATACATCTTTTCAAAAAAAAAATCCAACTTCCCTTCTTTCTACCTCAACCTCTCCTTCTCTCCAATTGAATATGAATACCCTAGTACGTGTTAAGATTTTTAAAATTACCTCATTATTCTTAGGGCAAATAGTATCATCTTATTTCAAGAACTGTAACTATCTCTCTATTCAGCCTCTTATTAAATATTTTTCAGAATTCTTTACAATGAAATGGGTTTCCCATCAGGAAATAAATGTTACGATCTGCATTATTTTCACTTCTTACAAGTTTTTATGCTATAGTAAAAATGTGCCCATTCATAAAAATAGCAATTTTTTAATATCAGTTTTAAGTTACAAATATTAAAATGATCAACTTTTCGTAATTCCTACTTCAAGTATTTCTGGGTTTGTTTGTTTGTTTGATTCTACAGTGGTCTGTCTTAGATTAAATTAATAAAACTGTGCTGTATTTTTCCCATGGATTCTTTCATTTCAGCAAGCTGAAAAATGAAAATGTTCAATAGAGAGATACACTCCAAGACAGAACCATGGTTTCTCCTTTTGTACTCCTCCTTCCCCACCTCAGAGTGCACACATGCAATACACTGCCAGTGTCTTGACAAATACCTTTTCACCTGGTGTAAACTAAGAGTATATTTGTTAGGGAATTGGTTACTGTAGCTGTTTTTGACAGTCTCAGATTTAGAACCAAACTAAATAGTCAACTAATGATAAATATGAATGGGTTTACCTTTATGTACAAAAATAGGCAGCTATGGATTAGAAATTCCTTCTTTGCATATAATACTTTAAATGATACTGATCAAAGAAATGTTTTCCAAAATATTTCCAAAAAACTGGACTATTAGAAAGTTGTAAGTTGTACATTTTACTACATTATCTATTGTTTCGTTATTAACCATCACTTCATGGTATAGCATTATTTGACATAAACTTAACAGAAGAAAAAAACCATCTACAAGAGAACTCAAACCATTATCTATTATTACATAAAAACTGGGTATCTAAAATCATGATTTGAAATTTGAGAAGACTTGAGCCCTTTGCTTATGGCTAATTAATTGCTCCAAAATTATTCTACATAAGTTTGCTGAGCCCATCATAGTGTCTATGAACTATTTGCAAAAGCAGTGCTTTGAGAAACCATAAAATGTTTCTCTCACCAAGAATGAAAGTTTTTAAGACAGTTGCGAAAAAGGGGCTGGTGAAGATGCCCCACTGGTTCTGTCAAATTAAAGGGGAGATAATGGGATGGTCTCACAAAATGCAATTTTCCTGGTTGTCTCTGAGAAGAGGCGCTTGAGCAAAGGCTATCTTTGTGCTACAACTCCTCACTTCTTAGAAGGGCAAACTTTGAGCACTAGATATAAATACAATATCTCCTTCAGATCTAAGCATAAAAGACCAAGAAACCTTGGCAAGACTTGATGTCCCTAAGGGACGTGAACAGGAAGTCAATAGAACTGTGGCTATGGTTCCCCTTATTCAGAAACATACAATTACCATTTCAGCTGCAGTGGTTATTAGAGGCATCTTTTTAACTGAAGTATCTAGTTACTAGAATTACTTTGGGGATGGTGATTTGATTCTATTAAGTGAAGTTCATTTTCAGAATTTACATGCTGGCTACTCGTAGTTATTTACTCGTAATCAAAGTATATAAAGGTTGAATATAGAATATGTATTAATCTATAAAATAATTGTTTGATTTTAGGCTATCTGGCTAAAGAAAATAAAGTTAGGCAGCTACAAATACCTGTAACTGCAGATACAAATTAGATCAGTACATATCTCAGTTTTTAAAAAAAATCAGTTTTAAAGTTATTTCTTCACAGGCAATAATCTATTTGTAATGTATCCCTGACACTAAAACACTGTCTACACAAAACCAAAATACTCCTTCATTTCAGTGGGAGAAAAGATCAGTCAAACCAGTTTTTTGGCATCATGTAGAAAAAATAATCAACTAGTTGGTCTGATGAATAATTCAGTTCTCAACTAGTTGTTTTGGCATAGTGTGGACACAGCTTAAAATGAGCTCTTTATAGACATCTTATGTTTGATAGATTCTTCTCCCTGACAACCAGAAATGGATCAGTCTCGAACCAAGTCATTCTGGGCTTGGAATAACCAAGGAAGGCAAATTAATCAATCACCTATTTACAATTTACTCCTTTAAACTTTGGAAGGAAAATAGGATAAAAGAACTGCTACTCTTCTGAAAACATAAATGTAAATTTGAAAGGAGACATAGATCTGCTTGTTTTAGCTCATCAGTAGAAATTACAGCACAAAAGGTAAGTCCACCCTGCTTGCTGAATGAAAGTAACATGAATCAATTACATGGCCACAGTTCTTCATCATAAAAATAAAGCCTGTCCAGTACATTTCCCTAGACTTGAAATCCTTGGTTGGAACACATAAAATGCCCTTTTTGTCAGAAACAAGAACAGATACTTTTCCATTCCAACATCAGATATTCAGTATTTAAATTGTTACTAAAAAAATCAATTGAAAAATATAAGCTATTAACAAGCAACTGAAAACTGGTATTCAATAAGAAGTGTGTATAAAGCAAACTGATGTTTACTTTAAAAATTAGGTCTCATCTTCTTTATGTATTGGCAAAGTCAAGAAGGAGTATATTGCAGGAGGCACCAACTTCATCTCCAACTCAGACCCAAAATAAATCTTAAAAAGTTACAAGATTAAACAATCAACCTTACTTCTTCAATACCCTTGGCTCCTCTACAACTTAATATATTAGAAGCCTATTATGATAGGTCTTAATAATATAGCTTTATATACACTGCAGGTCAAATCATACTCCCCCCAATACTTAGGATTATATATTTTTAAAAGCTTGTTAGAACAGCCTATAAGGCAAGCGTCATTCCTGACTCCCTCTTCTTCTCCCCTTAACCCACCACCTCCTTGCAACAAAATTACAAAAGGAACCCATCGTGGCTATAAATGTATTTAAACAAATACTAATATGACTAAATTACACCAATCACATTGTTCTTTTCTGAACAAGGAAGGAAAAGATATTAAAAAGCAGTTTCTTTGGGACCTAACATTAAATACACAAACGAAAATTCAAGATGTCTATTTTTTTCTACCTAAGTAGAAAATCACAATTGTCAAAGTGAGAAAAAGAAGGTTTGGGTTTTGTTTGTTTGTTTGTTTTTTTCGCAAGGTTTTCTTTCTTTTTTTGGAAAGCGTAGGGTATTGAAGTTGTTTCCCTGTAAAACAAAGCTTGTTGGGTTGTCACAAAACGATGGACAGCAGAGAAAGAAGATGGAATAAGGTAACTAACCTGGATGACAACATGCAACTTGTAAATTAGAAAAAGCCAAGCTAATAGCTTATTTAAAAAAAAAAACAACAACACAAAATATATAAAATAAAATGAATTTCATATACATCTTAATTTAAAATAATTAATGCATCAAATCCCTGTTTAAGACTTTAACCTGAATTTCAAATTTTAAGAGTTCAGACAAATTACTGTTACTACAGCTCTTCACCACATGTAACTCACGCTATCAAAAATAATTTAAAAACCTTCACATTCTTAAATCTAAATTAGTGAGATACTTCCCCACGAGTCTTCCAAATAAATAGCTTAAAAAAGAATTTAAAAGCTGTTAACTTTTTTTAAAAAATCTGTTAAATAAATTATTGATAACTTTCTTTACCCTACCACTGAAAATAAGTCAAGACACTACCAACAACAAAATGATACTCAAGCCCTGACAAGAGACCAGCCCTAGTTCCTGGTCTCTTTTAAAATTCTCCCCTCCTTCATCCTCCCCCCACCAGGTCCACAATGGTTATTGCTCAGTGGGTGTGGCACAGTGAAAATGCAGCATCAGGTTCATTTTGTTCTTCAGGCAGTGTTTTATATTGTACATGCAAGTCTGCTTCAAGCAGAGGAACAGCAGAAGCTCCAGGCCCCATTGCCCTCAATACTGGTCTCCAAGGCTGAGAGTGGCAGCACAAGCAGCTCCCATCAAACAAAGAAGCGTGCATGGCCATTTCTGTTCAACTTCAGGATCTTCCCAAGGCGCTGCTTGGCAGTGGCCATTCCTTTCTTTGGACGTTTACCTACAACACATCAACCACCATGTTAACTAGGATTTTAAAGATGACAACTCGTCAATAAGGATTTGTTTTTTAAAGGAAGAGCAACATTTCAAACATGCTGTATGTTCTAAATGGAAATGCCAATTATCTGAAATCAAAACATCACATGGACTAGGCAAACTAAATAACATTTGCACTTCTGACACATTTTTCTTCTTCCAACAGAAGATAATTATAATACTTCTATAAAAATATTCTTTTTATTATGGGCATTATTTAGATGATATTAAGGTGAAAAAGCACCTTTAGATTCACTCTGAAGAGGTGGCTGGAAAGACCATTAGGCTTGTCAGTAAACCTGATTTACCACTTACTAGCTCTGTAACCTCAAGAAAATCACAAAATGAGAATAATTCATGTATCATCATCAAATGAGATGCATCAAAGAGATATTATAAAGAAAGTTTTGTAAAGTGTAACATAGAATGTTATTATAATGTGAGCTACTACTGTTTCAATTTTCTTATGAGGAAAATATTCTCTCTTTATAAGATATCAACTATAGTCATGAATGTTAATTTCTCAAAACATTAAAGTACTACAAGCTAGTTTTAAGAGGGAAAGAACTAGAATGAAGGGCCTAAAATGCTCTCTGCACCAACAAAAAGTGAATTTCATGAACACTGGTGTTCTATCAGAGTATAAAAATATATCAGGTAGGACCCACTTGGCATTGTTAAGGGACATCACAGAACAAAGCAGATTCCAAATCCAAATGGGTTCCTGTATTAGCGCAGGACTGACTGTATTAAATTGTCATGCGTACTTTGTACTCTTGCCCCTGTATCATCCTACAGTGAGGCAGCTAGGTGGTACAGTGCATAGAGCACTGTCCTTGGAGTCAGGAAGATCAGAGTGCAAATCTGGCATCAGATACTTACTAGTGGGGTGACCCTTGGCAAGACACTTAACTTCAGTTTGCCTCAATTTCCTTAATTGTAAAATAATGATCATAATAGCACCATCACAAGGTTGGTATGAGGATCAAATAAATTAATATTTGAAAAATACTTAGTCCAGCACCTGGTACATAGCAAGTGCTATATAAATGTTTATTTTCCCTATGGGGTACACATAGCACCAGGGTTATAGGCTGGCTGATCTCACTGTCCAGTACCCATGGCCTGATAGATATGAAGCTCCAATCTGAACAGTATACGTATTTTTTAAAAATACTCATATCTGTAAGTGTAGCACTCCGTATCTACTGCTCTCACGCTCCTTCATCCACCTCTTATTTTTGACAGTTAAAATTACATGAACTTTCTGTAGTATTTATTTAAAGTCTTTTGTCTTATTCGTTCCCCTCATGAAGTAAAATAGATATTCTATTTTATATAAGAAGCAGGAAGAAGAGAACCAGAGCTGGAAGGCCCCTTACCTTTTGTTGCCTGGTTGCTGATGGGCGGTGGGTTGGACGCAGGTCTCTTGATGGGATGCAGCGGTAAAGAAAAGGAAGTTTCACCCCCCGACCTTTCTGGGCTAAAACTGCCATTGCTCATCTGGCATGTGCCCGGCACGAAGCTTGGATTCTGTGCACACTTTCCATTTTGGAGGCTTGAACCACTGTTGTCCATGTAACTCCTACTATGAACCTTCTGACTGAATTCTGGTGAACCTTCCTTTTTGATCTGTTTCTGGGCTTTACCTGGATCCTGCAGCCAAAAAATCAAAACAGCTGAATCCACACAAGGAAACTGGCACTTGGTCTGGCTCATACCAAGAACTAGCTAGCTCAGGAATTCTTAACCTTTTTTTGTGTGTCACAGAACTCTTAGGCAGTCTGATGAAGCCTAAAGATCCCTTCTCAGAATGTTATTAAAAAACAAAGGATTTCATTTATGTTTAGTTATCAAAATGTATATATATTTTTTTAATTTCACGGACCCCAGATTAAGAACCCCAAGTGCTAGAACCAGGAGAACATTGTACACCGTAACAAGCAATAGTGTAGGGGCAGCTAGGTGGCCCAGTGCATAGAGCATCAGCCCTGGAGTCAGGAGGACCTGAGCTCAAATTCAGCCTCAGACACTTGACACTTACTAGCTGTATGACCCTGAGCAAATCACTTAACCCCACTGCCTAGCAAAAAAAACCAAAAAATATAAAACAAAACAAAACAAGCAAGAGGGTAACAATGATTAACTCTGAAAAAACTGAGCAGTTCTATTAAGACAATGATCAACAGTTCCAAAGGACCCATGATGAAAAATGCTATCCACCTCCAAGAAAGGGAACTGACAAACTCTGAGTGCACACTAAAGTTTATTTTTTCACTTTATTTCTTTTGCTTTTTTTTTCTGGCAACATGGATAATGTGAAAACACATTTTGCATGATTTTGTATGTATTCATATTTCTTGTCTTCTCAATGGGAAGGGAGTGGAGGGAAGGAAAGAATGTGGAACTGAAAATAAAATAAAACAACAACAGAATTCCTTGTGCTTGCTACTGAATTATTACCAAAATAAAGGAATCTTAAGTCAAGACTATTCCAAATATTTCTGTGAGTTAAAACAGAGAACTGTGACAACCTATGTTGATTACCTAAGTTTAGGGAATAAATATTAGAGATAATGACACTTATTCCAATAAGGGCAACAATGCTCAAATGTTCAATATGGCCCTGCTTCTGTGATCTTATTAGTGACATCTTAAGTGCCAACTGTCAGGATAAGAACAGGGCAAAATACACATTACTATAAACTTCTTTAATATTATTTCTTAACACTTAATTTCCCTAGCTTGTAAACTTAGTTGATTGATTAACCTATGGAAATGAAGCACTCTGAAATCACAACCCAAGTGTGTGAATGAGCAAGCATGGTTAAGAGATTTGATTACTGACTCTAAAGCATATCTTAAAATAATTTTTTTAAAAATTTTTTATCAATACCTTTTCTTTTTACAACAGTCCTTCCTAAATGTATTTCCTGGCCATTAATCAAATGAACATTCTATTCTAACAAAGACAATCAGTTAGGGAAAAACAACAGCCACTTTATCTGACAATACACAAAGCATGTTTCTTCAATAAAGGTGTTGGTGCAAATGACATCACTGCTTTTTAAATATAATAAATATAAACACTTTGTTAAATATGAGATTTCTGGAATAAGTATTCCACAGTTGCTGTCTCATGGTGAGGGAAATACTATTTACAAGAGGAACAAGTAACAAATTATCTTTTGCATCTCTGGATAGGGGAAAAGTTCGTAACTAAATAAGAGATAGAGAAGACCAAAGAAGATAAAATGGACAATTTTGATTATATAAAATTCAGAAGCATTTGTATAGATAAAATGAATGCAACTAAAATTAGAAGGGAAACTATTGGGAGGGAAAAAAATCTTTGCAGCAAGTATCTCTGATAAAGGTCTTGTTTCCAAGATATATAAAAAATTAATTCAAATTTATAATTCCTCAATCAAAAGATATTCAAGGATAGATAGGAGATACCTAAAGGAAAAAATCTAAGCTATCAACAATCATATGAAGAGGGGGTGGGGGTAATAATGAATCACACAACCCATGCTTCTGACGAGAGGTAATGGATACAAGATGAAGAATAAGACATATTTTTGCACATGGCTAACAAAGGAATTTGTTTTGACTATACATATTTATTACAAGATTTTTGTTTTTCTCTCTTTTTCCAATGGGGGTTGGGAGAGAAGATAAAAATAAGTTTTTGTTATTGAAAAAATTAAGTTAAAAAAGTAGTATTTCCCTCTTAAGAGATGGAATTAATTTACAAATATTAATTGTCTGTAATATAATCTTTCCTCCTTTTAAAAAAAATTATATGATACTTTTGCTGATGTGAGAGCAAGACTTATTAACTACAGATGATTTCTACATTACAACTGATATTAATAAATTGTATTTCCCTTACTTCATTATAAAAGGATGTCAATCATTCTTCAGCAATTTGACTTTACTAAATACTACATTTCAGCTGTCATTACTATCAATAATATCATTATTGCTACCACAAATCCCACCCCACCCCCATAACCCCTACTACTTCTTCAGGAAAATGAGGGCTATACTTCTCCTCTCCTCTTCCTTCCCTTTTCCCCAAAGTAAATAAACACAGATGAACCTGGTTACTGCTGTTGCCTTTTTTTATTCCTATAGTTTTGTGTGTGTGATAAGATCATAAATGTAGGTACAAATTACTAAGGCAATATCAATTACCTTAGTTTGGAAATTAGCAAGATTTCCTCACATTTAAGTTATTCCAATCATATTGAAATTATGTTCCCCAGAGCTTAAGGCTGACAGTTTTTCTTATGGTAATGAATGATAATGACTATAATCACTATTTCTTTCTTTCTTTCTTTCTTTTTGTTACTGATAGTTTGTTTTATCTTATTTATTTTTGTATTCAACATTCACTTTTACAAGATTTTGAGTTCTAATTTTTTTTCCCTTCTTTTCCTTCCTCCTCCCAAAGATGGCATGCAGTCTGATACAGGTTATACGTGTACAATCACATTAAACATATTTCCACATTAATCATGTTGTATAATCACTATTTCTTAAGTACAGATTTGCTTATTAAAAATTGGAGCAGTATGGTCGTGTATCAATAAAAATGTAACTGTTCAATAATGCCTGTCTTGTAACATTTTAATTTCCCAAATCTCATAGTTATTAATCACCTATAGTACAAAAGTAAAAATCTAAGTAAATTATAACTTTGTAGTTTCTTTAAAAGTGCCTGGCACATTGTAAGTACTTAAATACTTGTTAACTGATTAACTGAAAAAAAGCTCCAAAATTTGGACATACCTGAGGATTAAACCTGGAAGTTGTAAACTGCCTGACCCAGGATGAAGTTTCCAATTCTTGTTCCTCTGTCTTAATATGACCTAAAAAAAGAAGTTTTAATTAAACAACAAGACAGAATACCTTTTAGGATTTCATAAAATGTTTAAAATAGAAAACAATTTGTACTAATGTTATATTTATTGTATATTAATAAGTCAGCTACTCATTCACATTTTCAATAGAAAATGTCCTTTCATTAGGGTCTCTATGCAACATTCAAATTATTTTTCCAGTTCTCAAGCTGGATTACAATTGCATGAATCCACTGAAGCCATCTACTGACAGTATAAAAGAACAGAGAGATTTACACCATTAACTCCTATACAAGAGTTTTGAGGTATTTCCTGAAAGATTACTTCTTATGAATGTGTGAAGTATTGGTATAAATAAAAAAATAGTTCCTGCAATTTGGGAAATGAACATTTATCCTAAAAGAAGCATAGGAACAAATAACACTATTTGGAAGGACTAATAATTTGGCTTTTTTTTTTTTTCAATTTACTCTCAGCACTAGAAAGTACTTCATCAAGAACAATAAAGGGGGTATTTCCAGATTTTTAGTTACCCTCTCAAAAAAAAAAAAAAAAAAGATAAAAAGGAGTCTATTACCCATGCCAGGCAAACCACACATAGTATCAAACCAGAATTGTGTCATTATTACTGACATTTCCATAATGTGAAATAACTTTCTAAAGGTTAAAAAAAAATGAATACAAAGGAAAGCTATCGAGAGAGTTCAGCAAATTGGTTTTTTGGCCTGGACTAGAATCTGGCTTACTTCCCTCCTGATACTCATCAATTTTGAGAAGGATTTCTTGAGGAAAACATCCAAAAGATTAGACATTCACAATAACCAACAAGTTCCGGGAGCTCCCCAACACACACATATACAATGATTGTTGACAGCCCTGAAATAAAATGATGAAGATCATTCTCAAAATTATTTAGTTCTGCTGAGTTACTGGACTCATTCTTCACATATCTTCTTCTCAAAATAACTGGTGTATAAACAGTAGTAAACAAGAAGAAACTGAAGACTGAAAGGTATGTTTTTGCTACTGAGAACCACTGGGTAAAAAAAGTCACCTGACAAGTTCTGGATCACTCCAATTGAGAAGACCTAAAGTTGTTAAAGCATTCATTGTACTTCAAAGATGTAACCAGTGATGAGTTGGCAAGATTTTCTATTTCTTTGGGAACAGATCTATATAATTAAGGCAATCAGTCAGCCAACAAGCATTTATCCAGTGCTATATGCCAGAAACTGTATTAAGCACTAGGAATACAAAAACAATCCCTGTCCTCAAAAAGAATACATTCTAATGGTGAAGATAACATGTAAATAATTTAGTAAACACAAGATATGTGATAATCTATCTTAGATTAATGAATTAATTAGAAATTATTTAGAAATTAGAAATAATTAATTAGAAATAATATGACAGGGGAAGGCACTAGCAGCTGGGGAACTGGATCCATCTGCACAAGGTGAAATTTGAGCTGAGGCTGGAAGGAAGCCAGAGAAACCAAGAAGTAAAGGTAAGGGGGCAGACCCCTCTAAGCATGGAGGATACAGAATGAAAAGGCAAAGAGATGAAGATGGAGCACGATTACGTCCAAGAATTACACTGTAGTCTAGGGTCGCTGAATTGTAGATTGTGAGAAGACTGAGGACTGGGAACATAGGAAGGGGTTAGGTCCTGAAAAACTTTAAATTCCCAACAGAGAAGTTTATATTTGATTCTGCAGCTAACAGGAAGGCACCAGAGTTCACTGAGCAGGAAGAGGATTTGGGGAGAAAAATGAATGACATTAAAACTGGAAGCCTAACTGACTGGGAAGATGGTGATGCCCTCCACACAAAAAGAAAAGTTCCAAAGAATAAACAGTTGTGGGGAGAAAGATGGATTCTGTTTTGGACATAATAAGTACGACATGCCTAAAGGACATTCAGAGTTTGAGGCAACTGGTAATGTATGATAGTAACTCAGGAGAAAAACTAGGGGGCTAGGCATATGGATCTGAGAATAACTTGCAAAAAGTTAATTGCTATAGTCACTTTGGCTGAAAAATCGCATGAGCTATGCCCTTTAATCAACTCATCTCTTAGAGGCTCATATGTCTGTGTGTGCTATCAAAACCAGAGTTGTCAATGACTTTTTAAAACATGACTGGATGGGGCAAAAGGGTTAGGAAGGAGGAACAGTCCAAATTAATTACAAAATTAAGCCTCAGTGACTGGGAAAGTGGTGATATGAACGAATGAATGTGGATTCTTTAAGCAGTTACTATGTTCAAAGCATGGTGCTATGTTCTGGGGATACAAACAGAAAAGCAAGATAACCATCCTTGCTCTCAAAATCACATTTTAATAGGGGAGACAACATACAGAAAGGCTCAGATGCAGGGTAGATGGAAAGAAAATCAGAAAGAGAAGTATTTAGAAGGAAGATGATGCATGCATTTTTGGACATGTTGAGTTTCACTAGTTATGAAGACATCCTGGTGACAATATGTGCTTAGGAGAGGTTGGGGCTGAGAATATATAGATTTGGAAATCACATGCAAAGAAGTGATCATTGAAATCACAGGACCGGCTAAAGCGGCCAAGGGAAAATATATGGGGGAGAAAAAGAAAGCTAATGACTAAGCTTTGCAGGGCACCTTGAAGTACGGCAGGAGGAAGAACTTGGAAGATGAATTAGCAAAGCTGAAAAGTCAGTCACACAGGAAAAGAAATCAGAGAAAGCAGTGAGAGCAGTGACAAAGAATCCAAGGGAAAAAAAGGGGAAAAAAGATGGTAGTCAACAGTGTCAAATGTTACAGGACAGTCAAGGAGGATAAGAACAAGGAAAAGGCCAAGATCTGGTATTTAGAAGGTGAATGGTGACCGGCAAAAGAAAGTTTAGTAGGGTAGTATGTTCTCCAGGTTGTCAAGGGTTGTGGAGTGACTTGGTAATGAAGCAGAGGCAGTGAGTTCTGCCTACTTCTTCTACAAGTCTAACACTACAGGAGAGATAGTATGCTAGCTTAAGAGGCATCCAGGTCAAGGGAAGGTTTTTTGTTTATTTGTCTTAAAAAATCAGAAGGGAAAAGACAGACTAAGAATTTGAGAGAAAGAAATGGAATGGATGATGGGGCAAGGTCCTATGAAAGAAAGAAGGGGATATTCTCTAGGGAACATGTAGAATGGTTAGCTTTGACAAATACAATATAGGGTAAAGGTGGAAATGTCAGCTTTGGTAACCTCATCCTTGAGATTAAAGGAAAAGAACTATTTTGCTGGAAACCTGCAATCTAAGAATATAGTTATTCTCACGTCACTTTGTTTTCTACGTCCTCTTGATTTTGCCCCTACTTATTTAGTAATTGACATAGGTAAAGCTGGAACTAAAAGCAAATTCAAATGTTTACACGTGTGGTATTTTAAGAGCCTGTACCAACATGTCTGGATAAAGCATGACTCATGACTTTCAATCAAAACCGGGACCATTGCTCTATGAAGTTCAGTTGTATTTGGCTCAAAGATCATTATGACATTGCTTACCACAATCCACTGGCTTATGGGACTGATACAACTGTCTAATATCATGGTTACTCCTATGGCAGCTAATGTGTTCCTGAAAAGAGCTTCTTTCAGCTTCATAGTCTGTGCTTTGTATCTGCCTTGTTAAGCAGGTAGTATAGTGCAATCCTGCCATAGACAGCATGCCCTGAATAGCTTCTTCCTCTGTGCTGGTCGAGGTAGGACATTCCCTAAAAAGAAGTAACACAGAATAAAATCTTTATTTCTTCTTTGAAATGTCACTACACTCCAATACAATAAAACCCAATCCACACCAGAAGGCCTACCTTTTACTTGGAATTTCATTTTTAGATGGCTTCTTGTTAGTTTGATACACGTTCATCGTCATTTCAGATTCCTCCTTAAAATTTGAAGATATTTTTTGTTTCTTTTCATCACCTGAGCTTTCTGATTCTTCCCTGGTAAAATCATTTTTCTATAATAATAAACAATTTAATGAAATCTATATAAAATATATGAAATTTTTAAAAAAGTATTGCTGAGAACTGCAAGCTTCTGTACAACAAACTGAAAATGTTCGTGCACACAGGTGGCATTTTTATTACTGCTGTGATAGAGGTTGGTAATTCAGAAGTAGAAAGCAGATCTGAGAAGTCACTAACTAAAAATGTGAAATCTGAAAATGGGATTTAGATTTATGGACTGCAGCTAAAAACAGAGGAAAGATAGGCTTTTGGCCAGGGATGGAGTATGCCTAACAAAGGCCAATAAACATACATTTACTAATCTTATGGAGCTGAACAAGAAGGACCTCAATTGAAAACAGAGACTATGGGGAAAATCTGTCCACATCCAACTGCCAAACTAGACATGATTAAAAAGTACCTTTCATGACACAGAAAGAAGGCTATCAGGAGTCAATATCCAAAAAGATCACCAGAAATAAAACCCACAGCCTTAGACATCACCTTCCAATCACTAAGTTTACAACCTTAGCAGTAATAATTGTCTCTGCCCTCTCTCTAACACCTCTCATATTCTTAAGTCTTGTTAGTTCAATTTCTACAATATCTCATCTCCAGCTTCTTCTCTCCAATCACACAGCCTCTACTTTAGTACAAAACCTGACCATCTCTTACATGTACATGGAGTTTTCCCTGTTTTTACACTCTCCGACTTCCAATCTACCCACTACACTAGGTGTCAAACTCGGCCTGCAGCATGCGTAAGAACAAGAATAAAATGTACCTGGAAAATGTTTACCAAAATAAATAAAAATACAATAAAACAAAGATAACGTTAATTTGTGATCTGTTCCTATTTGAGTTTGATACCACTGCTCCACAGAGCTGCCAAATTCATATTCCTAAAACACAGATCTTCACTCTTCAACTTGAAAATTATCAAAGGTGCTTTAATTACTCTAGAATAAAATAGGGAATATAAATTCAAGACAAATGAGGGACAGGTAAGAGGGGTTTAAATCACCAAACCCAGATGAACTACATCCAGAACAAGAGTGAGAAATATGATTGTCAAGTAACAACTGGTGATCTTTGTGAAAATGAAAAGCATAAGAATAAACGCTATCCGGATTTTTAAAAAATGAAAAACAGTAAATTTTCTATACTATAGGCTATCCAGCTTGCCTGATTCCAGAAAAATTCTAGAAGTTATCATTAAAAGAGAAAGGGAGGATTTCATCAAGGAAGTGGTCAGGCCAGAATAACCTAATTTCCTTCTGGACAAGATGAAGAGATGTACAATTAGGCTGAATGACTAGACACAAAGAAGATTATATTTAGCAGCATAAAACATCACCTATAGAGATCACTAGTAGAGTGGCTCAGTTACCTGTCATTGGTTCTGTGATGTTTAACATTTTTATCAATCACATGAATTAAAGGAGAGATGGAATGTCTGTCAAATTTGCAAACAACATGAAATTAGACACAATAAATAACAGAATTAGCATCTGAAAAGATCTTCATGGGCTAGAACACAGTGCTGACTCTAATAAGTTGAAATTTAGTAGGGCTGCATGTAACACTCTAGAATTTGGTGATTAACTATATTAAATGAACTAACTGAACAAAGTAAAGGGTAGGGAACACATATTAAACTATAGCTCCTGCGAAAAACATCTGGGAAACAGTGCAACGAAAGCTCAAAATGAGGTCACAACATAACACGGCAGCCAGAAAAGCTAATATGATCCTAGGCTAAAGGAAGCATGGTATCCAGAGCATGGAAGATGAGTTTCACTGTTAAGACCACATTTGGAGCACTGTGTTCCATACTAGGCACTTCATTTTAGGTAGGACACGGAAAAGCAAGGCAGGACAGCAGAGGTGTACCCAAGGTTAATGGGAGGACTGAAAAACAAACCATATGAGGATCAGTTGAAGGAATTGGGGATATTTAGACTGAAGAAGATAAAATGTGGGGAATCAGGAGAGATGGGATAGTTAAAAGGCAGAAAAAAGAGAAGACTTGTTCTCCTTGGTACAAGAGAGGAGAACCAGGAATAAGCACTGGAAGTTAAGAACAGATTTTTGGTTCAACGTAAAGAAAAACTCCCCACCAATCCAAGCTGTCCAAAAGTGGAACGGGCTGTCTCAGGAGGGAATACACTTGCACTTCCCTTCTCTGGTTGAAGACCCACTCTTGTCAGGGATATTACAGTAGTGATGCTTATTCCTGTTGGACTAGATTAGATGACCTCTGAGGTCCCTCCCAGTGCTGAGATTCTGTCATTTAACTTTAATTCTGTCCAAATACATGATAATTACTATAAGATTATACTTAAAATGTAATAGTAGCCTGACAGTATTCTTTTATGTACAAGGGAATTCTGAATAAGAAATTTAAAATAATAATTAAGAAAAAGAAGAAAACAAATAAAACTCTAATTGTTTTCTTTAAGATAAAGTTAATAGATAAACCTGATACAAAGTTATATTTAGTAGTCTTAAACATTGGATTATCATCTATAATTACTGCCACTGTACTAAAAGTCAAAAATACACACCTTTTGGAAAGCATAGTATTTATTCTCAAACTGAGATAAGATGGTTTTATTTTGATCTTCCCCCACCCCCAATATTTCCTTTAGCAATGCAAAAGGTTTTACCTGAATGGCGCAATCAGGCCCAGATTCCTCTGAATCAGAAATATCAGAATATTGTGAAGATCCATTTCTAAGTTCTGATTTCACACTTTCAAAAAACACTGGAAGAAAAAAGGGAAGGAAAATAGAAGTCATCGAAATATTTCCCACTTTAATTTGCAAAGAAAATGTCAATGTTTATTATAGATCTCTTATGTACAAAGCTGTATCCTAGGTATAAAATAATCTGGCATGCATAATACACCTAACAAAACAAAAGAACGTACTATTAGGATAATGGTGGCCCAATGTAGTAGAGCCAGGAGATTTTCAGACTAGTTTCCAGGAAGAAACTGTGAAGCTAAGACAATGAAGAGAACCACAGTCCACCCTTTCTTATTTTTACAGATGAAGAAACTGAGGTCCTGATAAGTTAAAGTGATGAGCCAGTTAGTGGCAGAATTTAAACAAAACTCAAGTCCTTCTGGTTTTCCGTCAATTCTATAAAGAATCTCATGTAGCAGAGACTTCGTTTTAATGGATATAGCTATGTTTCTATTTCTATGGTGTTTTTATTCAAGAAAGAGATATCAACACTCTTTGGTATTTCTCTCTACCACCCTATCTACTTCTTCCTAAAAACGGAGAGTTTGTCAAGTATTCAAGTAAAAAAACGTTTTAGTACTATTAGTACATACTGTTATATTCTATGAAAGCCTTGATTTTAACAAGAAAAAGGTTTTTTCTTAATGATTCTAGATTTCCATTTTGAATTATATGAAACTGTTTCTCATCAATTAAATCATTCATCAAGAGCTAACTAAAGATAAAAATTCCTGACTAGCCTACAAATCCTAATTCAGAATGGAGTAACCTTACTAGGAATGCATTATTATGTTTCTAAATAGGCAGCTAGTTTTGAGGCTTGTCAGCATTTAAAAAAAAAAGAAAAAGAAAAAGTAGTATATATTTCAAACATGAAGGGAAAAAAAATCAAAGTACTGTTGGGATTGTTGGAGAGAAGTTCCTGGGGCAAGTGATGGCTTGATGATATCAACAGGAAATCCAGCTCTTCAGGATGGCTAGAGATCTGCCTAGCTGTAAAGCTGGGGGCCTGGGGCCTGGGAATGTGTATTGGCTTTCTCTTCGCCCAAAGGAAGCAGCAAAGTAGAAAGTCCATTGACTAGAGTTAGTAGACCCCAGGTTCTGTCTCTAATTAGCTTTGTGATCCTGACAGAGTCATTCAATCTCTCTAGGCTACATTAACTGCCTCTACTTTCTCACCTCTGGGTTCACCTTTTAATCTGGCTTTTGTCCCCACCACTAAACAAAAACTATTTTTTCCAAGGGCTTTATTTATTGCTAAATTCAGTAGCTTTTTCTCAGGCTTCACCCTTCTTGATCTCTCGGTGGCACCTGACATCGCTGATCAACAACTGTCTCTCTCTCGCTCCTCTCTCCTGCCTTGGTTTTCTTGGCACTCCTCTGGCATAGTCCTCTTCCACCTATCTAACAGATCACTCTCAGTCCTTAAATCACCTCTGCTATGCTGTTCTGTCCAGGCTCCACTCTGTTTCTCTCCTCTCTTGGTGATGTACTCTGCTCCCATGGATTCAATTACCCTCTGTATGCAGGTGACTTCCAAATCTAGCTAGCTGGCCCATAATCCTTTCCTGGGCTATAATTCAACACCAACACAGTCTGTTAGACATCTTCACCTCAGTGCCCCACAGATATCTCAAACTCAACATGTTCAAAACAAATACCCCCTAATTCACCTGTTTTCCTAACCTCTTTATTCCTACTGATGGCACCTTCAGTTCTTTCAAGTAGCCAGTTTAGCAAACTAGAAACATCCTTCATTCTCATTCCTCACTACCTCCCTCCCAATATCCAATCATTTACTAAGTCTTGTCAATTCTACTTCTTCAACATTTGTTGAACCCATATTCTCTCCTACTAGTTGGTTTTACCAAATCCGATTTCTTACTCTCCAATATGCACTCTACAAAGCTGCCAAATTGATATTCCCAAAGCACAGGTCTCACCATGGCATTTCTCTGTTCAAGAAGTTCCAGGAACTGCTTTTAGGCTAAAATTCAAACTCCTTCATGAACTCTAAGCTCCAGCCACATGCTCTATTTGCTGCTCTCTGTATATGACATTCCGTCTCCCACTTCCTCTCTGTCTGAGGTCCTCTCCCTCTCCACTTCTTGGAACTCCTCGTTCCCCTGAAAAGGCCTTAAAAACAGTCAGTGGCACAATGGACAGACTGCCAGACTGGACTGAGGAAGATCTGAGTTCAAATTTGGCCTCCAACAATTAATAGCTGTTTGACCTCGGGCAAGTAACTTAACCTCTGTTTGCATCATTTCCTCATCTATAAAATAGAAATAATAGCACCTAACCTCTGAGGATTGTTATGAAGATAAAATTAGATAATATTTGTTAAGTGCTTTGTAAACCTTAAAGCATATACATGCTATTATTATTATTATCACTATCACTATTATTCCCACAGTTAATATTCTTCTACAAAGTAACTACTTAATTCTTGGTAATCAATAAGATTGATAAACCTTAGTTTTCTCATCCATAAAATGAAGGGAATGGATTACATGATGTCTAAAGTCCTAAATTCTCAACTCAAAAATCCTAAGATTCTTCTGCTGTCATTTTGTATACCTCAAAGAGTTCCCAGGCCACTCTCTCAGTTTGCAGCAGCTTCTATTGTGCCATAAGTTAGAAAGTATGTATCTAAGTTTTGTAGTATTTAATGTTAAAACTGAATAAAGACTGCTCTGAGTTGGGGAATAAAGTGCATGACTTCTGTTCTATGTTTCTATGACAGGTACATGAAGTTCCCAGGGATCAGTTTTGTTTACTTGGGAGATGTGCTGAATATCAGATAAATGAAGTATAACATCACAATGCTGTATTAATAAATTAGCACTGCATATGAATGTCACAGTACATTGTCTCTGGAAACTTTTAAAGTTTTCTTACTGCTAAAATTTATATAATTAAACGAGAAATTTGTCAACTAATGATGAAGTTGCCAGTTAGATCCAACACTTTGATCTACTGTATATTATTTATTTCTTCAAATCTATCATGTCCCCAAATTCTTCCCAATTCTGAAAAGTCTGCTCAAGAGTTTTTTTTTAAAAAGGTGAACTTTTAATAACCGCTTTTATCAACCTATTAAATCATTCAGTTACAAAGTAGCTAGAGGAAAAAAATGAAACTTCTGTGAGATTTTTTCTTAAAAAAGCGAGGGGGAATGGAGAATCTTTTCCCTATATAAATAATATCTGGCACTTCATTGAGACTCTAGACAAAAGGCCTTCCCTAAATAACCCCAAAGCAATGAATTTGTCTAAAACAAAACAACCAGATTTGATCCAATTTTGTGTCAAGGTCCACTTTGTTACTGCCAAGAATTTTTTAAAAATTCAAAGCGTTAACTCATGGCTTAGTCAAATGAATTTGCTAAATTTATCTTTCTATTATTATTGTTTACTTCTTTACTTCTACAGGTCTGTGAGCTCATTGATATATGTCCTAAGATGGCAAAGACTGTAATAAACCCATGCCATGTTGCCCTATACAATATTCCTCATTGCTTTTGCAATGTGACTCTTTTTCTGTTCATATATGTCTCTGAAAACATCTTTTATAAATCTACTTCACACATTCAGTTCTTTATTGGTTTTTTGATCCCTCCATGTACATCTCTACTGTCCTTTGAACTGCAACTCTGGCAACTTTTAATTCTTTGGAGGCTGTGTTATTTCATGATTCAAAATCATATAATATTCATTGGAAGAATACTGTAAAATAAGATGAGCTACTGTTTCAGAGACAAACAAGATATCATTTAAAAAGACTGGAATTTCTCATTAACAATTTAGTCAACTTTCCTCTTCTGATTTAATTCTGGGTCCAGTTCATTGTCCAGGCATAGTGTTTGCCCAAAATATACATACTGATGGACAAGCTGTATGGGTCAAGCATCCAACTGCCTATCATAGTGTGGGAAATAAATATTCTTTGCTGACTTGGTTTTCCTGTTGAATAATTAGGCCAAATTCTTTTGAGTGATTTAAGATTATCATTTAGAATGCACTAAAATGTTCTGAGGCTTAATGCAAATGGTACAATGTAATCCACAAATAGGAATATCTGGAGGCCTTTACCATCAATTAAGAAATTCTTTTCAATTTAGACTCTGTGCTGGACATCTTTGAAAGTAGCAAACACCATTGTTGACTAGATGTCCTTTTTTATGACTTGCTTAAAAGTTTTAAAAAGCAAACATTAAAAAAAAAAGATTAACGAAATGAAAATCTCAGAAAACACTGAAAGACCCGTTAAGGACATCATCATAACCTAGCCAAACTGGAGTTCTCTCTAGTGGCATGGCACTCCCCGTCCCATCTCCATGTCTTTGCACGGGCCATCTCCTATGTCCAGGCTATCCCCTCCTCACCTCTACCTCATGGAACACATAACTCAAGCACTACTTTCTACATAAAGCCTTTCCTCATCACCTAACTACTGGTATCTTCCCTACCTAACTACCTTGTATTTATTCTCCTTAGATTTATTCTGTATATATTTATCCATATATTTGTCTCCCCAGTGGAATATAAGCTCCTTGAGAGCAGAGGTGTTTCGTTCTTCATATTTTTATGCCTGGTACCTAGCAGGGATATAACAGAAGCTTAACAAATGCTTACTGATCCACTGCTTAATATACTTTGCCTATAGGTGGTAGAGAAAAAGACTGGGAAGATTTGGATACATGCAGACTGCTGGTCACTGCAGAGAAGAACTAAAGTGAACAAGTTACATTATGCCAATGAATGCAAAATGTCTGGGCAAAATGCTAGGCCACCAGTTTTCAGTTTTGGACTTACATAGTGCATGCTTTGGGATTCTAATACTAGAAAAAGTCAAAGAAAGAGAGGGCAGGATTATACAATTTGAGTACATGCGCTACAAAACACTGGAAGCATTGGCCATATTTCAGTAGCTTATGGAGAAAGTAGAAACATGTGAACTCCCAAAAGCATTGTTGCACCTAGGTGGTCTCATTGTCTTTAGAAAGAACTTAGAGGAATATGGGGAAAAACTAATCAATTAGAGCAATTGGAAGATACTCGTCTGATGCTGTAATCTGAGAAGGGTCAAGTCTGCAGAGCCTCAGCCAAGCAAATGGGATATGCTGTGTTTCAATAGGAAGTGAGCACCAATCCAGAGAAGGTAGAATCACTTATCAGCTGACCACATCCAAACAGCCTTTGATAACTCAAGACTTTTCTGGGATTTAGTGTTTGCTACTGGAAATTTTTAAAGATCGTGCCATTACCATTAAGTCACTTAATCATCTTCCTCGTTGGGTATATGATCAAGAAAGATCAATATGGATTGAACCCTTTAATACCATTTGGAGTCTGTTGTGATGTGAAATGTGAAGAGGATTCTATGGACTTGGTCAGCTGCCTTATATATTTACTCATGCTGCACAGTCACGCTAGCCAGGAAAGCTTAGTAGAAATCTTGTATTAACAGAGTAATTATTCACCAGAAACAAACTGCATTTGCAGCAGAGGATTTAGTAAGTGTGAAATTTATTGTCCCTAACAAAAACTGGAGTTCTTGGCTTTGAAGTGGGTTACCCTTGAAAAGTTCCTAAACTATATGTATGAAGCACAATTTTAAATGTGGACCAAAAACAATCTACTGATACATTCTGACCAGTGCCCACATGGATGCTAATTACCAGAGATGGGCACCAGCATTAGCCAACTATGAATCCGGAATGTTCAAGAGCCTGAAAAACTAATATGTATGCAGGTGCCTGTCCAGAGGTCATGTGAATCTGATCACTTCAGTGATACCCTTAGAAAGAATAAAGGCAATCTGCAATAAACAGAGAAAAGGTGATTCTAGAAGTAAAAGACTAGAGACATTTTCCTGATCTATCACTGCAAGGGGACATCAAAACAGAGTCCCTATTGGCTCCACAAATTCTGCAAGTAGAATTGAGCCTAAATTCAGAAAACAGGAAGACAGAGTATGCTTAAAACAACCCAGGACAATCAAATAGATGAGAAGGAAGGGTATAAGCATTTACATAGAGCCTACTAAAGCACCAGGTACTGCATTAAGTGCTTTTACAAAATTTTGTTTTCATAAATATTACAAAATTTATAATGTAGGTAGAGCATAACAAGCCATGATCTGACTGAATAAAACCACAAAAATTCTTAGATTGATTGAGATTAGCATTGCCATCCACATCTAACAGTAAAGAGGCAGCAAGTTCTCTGAGAGTAACAGAGAACTTGGCTGTTCTCAGAATGTTCTCTGGTGTTAGATGGGGCATGAAAACAGCTAGAAGTATTTGATTGACAGCCTATATCCAGGTGGATATAGGTGCTCTATACAACTCAATTCTGACATGCTGTCCTTTCATTGCTGCTGAGGATCTCCACAACTTTGTGTCCCTATTTAAATTAAATACTATATGTGAAATGAGCAATTTATATAAATTATAATAAATTTATCTTCTGTTTTGGAACATGTAGGCAAAATAAATGCAGCATTGTAGGACCATACATTTAGAGCCAGAAGGGACCTTAGAGGTTGAGTTTAACTCCCAAATTTTATTATGAAGAAACTGAGGCCCAGCGAAGTTCAGTGACTTGCCAAGGGTCACAAACATCCTAGTACTTGGATTTGAACCTAAGTCTTAATGACTTCAAGTTCAGTGCCTTATTTGGCCCCATGCTACCTCCTATAAGTTTTCATCTGTGAATGTTTTGACAACTAAAGATACCATCAAATACATGCTCATTTCAACATTAAGAGTACCTTCTTTGAGTATTTCCCTGTTGGTACTGATGCCTTGCATTTGTTCTGAAAAACTATTTAGAAATAACTTCATACGAATGAGAATTTTAAAAAGATATTTTAGAGAGACCACAACAAATTTAATAATGCTTATCATCCCACATGATTTCTTAATAGCTCGGAAGCTTATTTTAGAGAATTAAACTATGTAATAAGTGAAGAACTAATATAAAGTAGTCATATGAAAATGAACTTACTATTAAGTGGTTTCTGAGGTTCTTTATTCCTCTGTCCTTCTGAAATCTGTTCTATCTTTAGGCTCTTTGCCTTTTTTGACCTCTCCATGTAATCTTCATTCTCACTGTCTGCTGTATATAGATTTTGATCTGTGAAAGGTTGTCTTTCATCTCTGCATTTCAGGGGGGGAAAAAAAAGTCAAAACAGGGTAACTTTTAAGTAAAGCAGTATCTCCCTCCATCCCTTTGAATTTATTTGAATTATTTGAATTAAATTTGAAGCTAACTAAGAATATATTTTAGTTAATTTATCCACAGTAAGCAGTAACGGAGATTATATGAATAAAGAAAATCAACAGGTAACGTATTTCATTGGAATATATAACTATTTATAATGTAAGTAAAATGGTAAAAATTATTTAATTTCTAGATGTTTATTTTACAGCCAAGTCTGCTAAATATGTCTATTTTGTAAAGAGAAGTATACAATCATCTACTTTACATACTTAATTATCCTTCCATTTGTCAGCAGTAATCGGAGGTCATTATCTTTTGTTCTCCATTCTGGTACTGTAGAAGATGGCTGGAGGTGCTTGTTGAATCTTCCATTCAATTTAGAGCTCAAGTTATCCTTAGGGTATAAAAGTTGTATTATTTTATCTTTACAAGGAAAATTAAAGTAAGACTTTTGAGCACATAGTAGCTTATACTGGATTTTCATTCTTTCCCCATTTTTGGAAGGACCAAGGGCCATCTTTTCTATACTCTCCTCAACCTCAGCTTATTCATGGCTCTTCTGACCAAGCTAGTGTGAAAAACCTGCTTCTTTTACCACAACCTATAACTTACCACCATCTGCACATGATCCAATAGTTAAGAATAAAGATTACAAAGTGTCAAAGGGTTGTTATAAGGTCCAACTGAGATAGTATTTACAAAGGCAATCAGCACAATGTCTTGCACATAGTAGGCATGTCATAAATGCTTATTCCATTCCTACTCCCTTCATAAAGACAAGGGAGCATATTAACCATAAAAAATATTTTTTCCTTCATAGTCAAAAATATATATATTTCCCTGACATTAATTAGGAGTTTGGGTATTATATTTAGCCTTTCTTTGATAGCTATTTTTGGGTAATGTAGGCTTAGAACAAAAATTACATAATTTAGTTTCTAAATCACCATATTAAAAAAAATCTTAATTTAGTAGTCCTTCCAACCTTGTTTTATAATTTCACTGAGTATTCTGCACTAGCTCTTCTTTCCAGATTTTAAATTACAGAAAGTACATTCTACAGATCCATCAACAACTAGTCCTGAAGAGACTTTAGTACCCAAGTGATAAAGTACATTCTCCAAGATAACAGCTTACATATGCTGCTTTCTTCAACCAGTCTGGGAGTGATAAAATTCAATCATTATAACCAATGATCTCTGGTTTGCAAAAAAAAAAAAAAAAAATGATAAAACTGAGATTGCTTGACCACTAAGACTTTCCATTTTATTTCTTATTCCCCCCTTCAAGAAACATTATACTTGCCTCTTCCCATGGACACATTTCTAGTCTTTTGAGCACTTCTCTTGTGTGGAGTTCTAAGATGTCCAGATTAGAAGGAGTTCTAACATTATGATCTCGAAGTTTCCTCATTCTCCGTCTGGAATGGTATGGGGAGGATACTTCGTTTGAGGATCGTGAAACTGGGCATGTAGTAAGGATTCCCTGAGATTTGACTGGCTTACTGTTTTCCTCCTTCAAAAATTGAGAATAATTCAGAACACTTTTGAAAACACAGCAAGACCATATTTTTCATTACTTAAAAAGCTATAAAAGCATCTTGTAAAACCAAAAACAATTCAGTTTTAAAATTCCTCAAAAGGACTGAATCATAGGACACAAACAGCTTTGCAAAGAATATCTGCAAAAATATGTTCCCCAATGATTGACTTGGAAAAAAATCTTTGCATGAAATATCTTTGATAGATGTTTGATTTCCAAGATACACACACACACACACACACACACACACACACACACACACCCCTAAAATATGGAAGACCAAATTCATTCCCCTGCAGATAACTGGTCAGATGATATGAACTAACAATTTCCCAAAGAATTTCAAAGTACTAATAATCATATGAAAGAAAGTCCCAAAACAGTAATAATAAAAGAAAAGCAAAGCAAAGCAAAACTCCACGGTATATAACATTTTGCATACTGGCAGAAATGAAAAGAGACAGGAATAATCAAAGTCGGAGGGAGTGTGGAAACGTGGAAAGACAGACAAACTAAAGTATTATGGTCATATCATTCTGGAAAACAATTTAGAATTATCCAGAGATAACAGAAATTCCATTGCAAAACATATGTAATTAAGAGGTCAAATGGAGGGGGGAAAAAAGTCCCACATACACCAAAATATTTGTGGCAGCACTTTCTGAGAGAACAAAGAACTAGAAACAGAATAGATATCCACTGACTGGGGAATGGATAGATAAATTATGGTATGTGAATACAATGGAATATCCCTGTTTTGTAAGAAACAATGACGATGACGAATACAAAGAAGCAAGGAAAGACTTGTAGAAAACAATTCAAAGCAAAGTAAGTAGAACCAACAGTATACACAACTACAACAATGTAAACAGAAAGAACAACTGAATGAAACCTCAAGTGAATGATACAAAATTATAAAAAAATCAAGCTTGGTCCCAAAGAAAAGATAGAAGACATCTCTCACTTTGCAAAGGAAGGAGAACTATGGGTGTGAAATACTGTAGATAGCATCAAAATTGTTTGACATATTGGTTAGTTTTGCAGAACTGTGGAAATTGTAGGTGATATAAAAACAAAAGACAAATTTTTTTTAAAACAGGAAAAAAATAGACTTCAAGGCCAGTTAAAAACCATGAAATGTAGATTTATCTAATTTTTGAAGATTCCTATTACTCTTTAAAAATCCTAGCCTTTTGTATTTATACTCTTAGAGAGTAGCCTAAAGCACTGAAAGGTTAAAGGTCATACAGTCAGTATGTATTAGAGATAGGATTTGAACTCAGATATTCCTAACTCTGAGGCCAACTGTCTATCTATTACATAATACTAGCCCCTCAATATGGTCATACTCAGAGTATTTACAACTTTTTCTTTTTAACTACACAAAGAAGTACACAAGCAAGTCAATTAACCTAAGTCACAGTTTCTACACATATAAAATGGAGGATAACAGCAACTATCTCACTGAGTTGTTCTGAAGATCAAATGAGATATTATACTGTAAAAATATTTTACACAGAGAATCAGCAGGGTAGAATGTTTAGTAAACCTTGAAGCTAGAAGACCTGTATTTATATCCAACCTCTGACATATCCCACCTGGCATATAACTAACTGTGTAATTCTGGGCCAGTCACCTAACTTCCTGGGGGTCCAGGCAACAATCTGAGACAATAAATTGCAAAAAAGGCAGGTCAGCTTCCTCATCTGGGTGTGCCCTATATACTAGTGAAACACCAGTCCAACTATCCCTGGCAATGTCTGCTATTACCGGGCTACCAGCTCACAGCTAGACTAGTGTCTGGCTTCTTTGCTGTTAATCACACTACCACCAGTCTCTTCTTCAACATGTGCTATGTGCAAGCATAGCACCCTTTTTCCTCACTGCTGACCCTCAGAAGCCTCATTTTTTTCTTCCATGTTCTCCTGAAATGCCACCTCTTCTCTGAAGTCTTCCCTCATCCTTTCAGTTATTAGTCCTCTCTCTTCCCAAATTACTCTGTATTTGTATACATATTGAATCCTCCCTATAAAATGTAAATGCCTTGAGAACAAGAACAATTTTATTTTTCTTTGTATTACATCACTTAGTGCAGGGACTCATACATAGAAGGTTCTTAATAAATATGTATGAACTAAACTGTTTTAGTTATGTAACTCCTCCAAACCCTGAATTAGCTGCCAAAAATTTTTTTAATCAAATTAAAACTAACCATTTGGCTTTATGGCTATTGTTATTCTACCAAAGATACTTTCTAATCAAGTTTTCCTAATACTCTCTACTTCAATGACCTATATCCACCATTCTATAAAATCTCACCCTGCTAAATTCTGGTTAAGATTTATTTCTCCAAATTTCTTTGCTTCCTAACTCCACTCCCTCAACTACATTTGTACTAGCTCTCTAATTACCGATTACTTGTTAATCTCTTAGGAGCTAAAATCAGTTATGCATAAAAACTTCTGAAGGCTCTCTGTATTAAATATACGTTTTTTTCCTTTTCTGAACATACCCAAAGGCATGCTTTCAATTAAAACACAGTATCATTAAGTATTCCCAAATTACTCTAAAACTTTCTGAAATTAAAAATTTAGATCAGTATTTTAAAAGGTTCCATACAGCATGGAATAATTTTCCAAAGGTTTTTTTTTTTAGAATAATATAATTATCTACTTCAAAAAAACCCAGAAATTTAATATTCATTTAGGTAACTGTTTCTACTCTTACCTCTATCGAACGAATTACTTTAGAAAGTTCTTTAATGAGATGTCCCGGTCTAACATTGTCTGGAATTTCAAAGGCATGTTCTGATACAAGCTGTTTTTAGATTAAAAAAAAAAAAAAAAAGTTAACATCTCTTAAAAGTACCTGGACAAATTAAACATCTAACATACTTTCTGCATTCTATAAGTTTTATATGCACGTGTAAATAAGCAGTACGATGTGATGTGAAGAGCAATAAACTTGGGAGTAAGGAGGCCTGGATTCAAATCCTACTTCTTACATGTTAGCTGTGACAATGGGCAAGGTAATTGTACTTCTACAAGTATCAATTTCTTCTTCTATAAAACAGTGATGATAACACTCATACTATCTGCCTCATAGGATCATTGTAAGCAAAGTGCTCTGTAAATATTAAAGCACTATCATTATTAACTTTATCCTAAGTATTGATAACTTGCTTATTTTCTAAATTTTATATTCATATGTAATAGACAATACCATGTATGGTAAAGACAGCTTGCCTTTGGACACCAGAAGCCCAGGGTTCACATACTTCCTCTAATATTTACTAGTGATGTAACCAGGTGCAAATCAGTTTAACTGAGCAAGTATAGTTACTGTTTGAACTTCAAATGCAAAATAGGTATCATAGTACCCATAGGACCTATCTCCTTGGACTGATGTGAAGCTCAAATGAGATGATGCAGGAGAGCCTTAAAGACTTCAAAGACCATATGAAGAGACATTGGACTTTCTTAGTAATGCTGGTCTCAGGGTCCATGCAACTGATGAAATCAATCTAGTAATTAGGCACTGTTGTTTATATAAACAACTGAAATTCTCTGAGCTAGAGTCAAAGATAAACTCTTTTTTTTACTTAATTCTATATTGTAGTTAACTGAATACTTACAGTAAGGCTCTATTGCTGCATTTAAAAAACAAAACCCTACTTTACAAAAATCATTTGTTTAAGATTTTAACTACCACAAACTAACAAATGAAGACATTACAAAGCTTTAACTTTTATTTCAATTCACACAAATTTTTGGATATATACTGAAATGATCCTAGTTCTTCAACAGGAGTCCTAATATGAATAATGGAGAAAATTTGTCCTTTTTCTCCTTCCTCAATAAATATCAAGTTACAAAAAATAACTCCAAAGTAGAAAAGAACTGTCTGTGAGTTATGACATAAAACTATTATCTAAGTAGAGCCTACATACAGAAGGCATTTAATAAATGCTTGTTGCCTCAATTATAAAACTGCAAATCTAACCTATATGTAAGAGGCAGCTAGGAAATCAAGAACTCGGCCTGAAGTCAGGAAGATCTGGCTTCAAATCTAGACTCCAAACGTAATAGTAAGTGTTGTGACCACAGGCAAGTCACCTGACTTTTCTGAGCCAGTTTCCTGATGGATAAAAAGAAGTAATAATGCCTACAGTATCTATCTTTCTGGGCTGTTACGAGGATTAAATGGAATAATATATGAAAAACACTCTGGAAACTTTCAAGTGCTATAGAAATGGCAATTATTATAGCCACATTCAAATGTCCACCTCTAAATACTAATTCCCTCAAAAAAATACTCAATTATCCAAACAAAAGGAATTATTTCCTCTCATCTTCCAGTAAAATCTTTTTGCCTGCAGCATTTCTCTGAAAATTAACAAGTGTCTTAAAAAAATAGCTAACCACTGAATGTCATATAAAGAAATTCACTTTGAACGTAACTTATGACACTTAACGTTGATATAATTTATGTATTACTTAATCATAAAATGTTCTGTGACATAGAATATCATATTTTTATCATACTGCTATTTAACTTTTCAAATGTTCATAAGCTCAATCAAGGTCCTTTCTCTATTACTCTTGGTGTTGGTATCCAATGAAGAACACAGGCCTTCCATCTGTTACTGCTCACTCACTCACTGTACATCACTATTGACCTCTTCTTTCTTCAACACTACTTGTTATATATACTTCTTTGCACATGCAGTTCTTTGATAACATTCCGGAGCCTATTAATGCCCACCATGAGTATCTCCATTACCTGTTAGGTAAAAAGTAATTCAAGTTCTTTGGAGACTCTGGTATTAACAGGATCACTGATTTAAAGCTAGAAATGATCTGAGCTTAGAAGTCATCTAGTCAGCCTCATTTTACAGATAAAGAACTCAGGTTCAGAAAGGCTAAGTGGTTTGCCCATGGCCCTAAGTTAATTTCAGGAAGGAGGATGCACCAGAGAGTTCGGGAAAGGCTTCATGTGAGAAACAGCTCCTCAGGTGAATTTTGAGGGAAGTTGGGGATTCTAAGAGACCAATATAAAGAGAGAGTGTACTCAGGTGTAAGGAACAGCCTGTGCCACAGTTTGCCAAACTCCAAATCACTGAATATTAAATCAGTACAACTCCTGCATAAATACATTTTTTCAATAAAAAATAAAAGTCAGCAAGAATAAGACTAACATGGTGAATCTGTTCCAACCACTAATGAATCTATTTAATAGATTATTGCAAGCTAGATCATATTTGAATAGGCCACATCAACAAGGTGGAACATCTGACAAGCCACCATCAACTTGGCCCATCAAATTTCAAGGTGGGATCCAATTAGCCACCATCAACATCAGTCTGAGTAAGACACTGACAAATTGAACTGTTTGTTGTATTTGAATGTGAAGAGAATAAACTCAGTGTTAAACAGTCATTGTGTGGAAATAAAAAGCACTATAATATCTATAGTAACTCTCAATATTTATTCATTTTAGTGAGTACAATTTAATAAGCTGATATTTTAGAACCCTCCAATTTAAAACTGTAGTAACTCAAAAACTGTTAAAGGTTAAGTGCTTGAAATTTTCAACAACTAAATTTAATTATCTCAAATTTTTTATTCTAACTTTTTAAAGTGAAGTAGTATCAATCTGTGATAAATAAAACAACCAGTTTGAAAAGCAAATCTACTAGAACAGCTAAAACTAGTGCAAAGATAATAGAGACAATTTAGGTAGTAGAAACAAACACAAAGGAAAAAACCCACATCCAGAAAATACACTAGGATTTATGAATACTATTACTGATGAAGAGGAAAGACTATAGTCTGACCTGCAGTGCTCTAGCAAATAAATTGAAATGACACCTTGAAAATGACCATGTCATTGATGGTCAGAATGAGAAATTTTCCAAAGAGAATTTGGTGCTTTTAAAAAGCAAAACGAAACTGTGTCATCAAACAAACTGCTTATGGAACTACTAAATATAAAAAGCCTAATTTGATACAAAAGAATTAGCCCTACCTACAGCTACCAATATGGTTCAAATGATGCAACATGAATTATACGTAAAGCAGCTCTGAGCTGTTCCATTTGCAGACAATATAGTGGGAAGCAGAACTACCCCCGTCTCTGAAGACCTTTGAGTTTTGTTCTTTTTAAGCCTTCTGATGGTAATGCCCACATCAAAAACAAACAAACAAAAAAAAAAAACACCAAACCCAAACCTTCCAAAATAATTGATGGATTTTTAACGAAATAGTACAGAAAAGACTTGTGTTGCACGCTACACTCCAGGAGTACAATCACTACCAAGACAGCCTCAAAACCTGGAGTGGGCCCTGCTGCACTCTGGCCATCTTCCTGCCATGTTGCTACACATATATACCCCTTTCCCTTGGCACCTCTTACTCAGAAAACAGCAATTAAATCAAGACAGGACAGGACAGGTCAACTGCCATTCACAGACCCTGTGACTTAGCAGACCAAAACTCTGCCATGGCCACCACCTTCCAATGTGTACTGTCTTCGCTTATTTAAATGAGTTCTGTAGAGACAGAGTGTCTATTTGCATTACAATGCTTATTAGCACAGTACCTTACACATAGGAAGCATGTAATCAATCTTTTTCACCTATTCATGTCTTTATCTTTTCAGGAAGACGTTCCAGTTCTAGAAGTCAGACAAGTCCGATACTTTGTTGCATCTTCCACAGTATCTACTACCGAGGCTCATCTGGAGGCTCACAGGGTCACCAAAACAAGGGATCTTAGGAGCCATTTAGTCCAACCCCTTCATTTCAGATAGAAAGAAGCTTGAGGAAGACGAGGTCAGAGAGGTGAAGTCACTTGCCAGGTCACACCAATAGCACAGCCAACATCTGAAGCCAGATCCTTTGGTTCCTTTCTCTTGATATAGACTATCCTCTCTCTCTTCCTTCAATACTTTGTTCCCTTACCTTGTCACAACTCATAATCTTGTCAAGGCTCCATCAACTTCCTGATCTGCCCTTCTTCCCAGTGCTATCAAAGGCATGCAATCCACAGATTCAGTCACCTTAACATATGTCATTCCATCTCAGTTGGGCTCTCACCACTGTATGGACACCCTTTAATTCTCCCTTGATTGAATCTTATCATACTTTTTCCAGTGACTATTTAAATCTCTCCTCAAACCCCCTTCAATCCTTGCTCTCAGCCAAAGATTTTGTCTCCTACTTTATTGAGAAAATAGAGGCAACGATCTCCATCTTCACATCTCAAAATTCCTCTAAAACTGTTTAGGACCCTCTCCTATCTGTTCCAGTGTCTGAACAAAAGGTTACTCTCCTCTTTGCCAAGAGCAGCCCTTCTACATATTAACAGTCTCTCTCTTCCTCCTCCTCTATTAATTAGCTCCTTTCCTGCTGCCTACAAACATTCAGGTAAGCTCCTTGAAGCTAATGACCATTTTTCCACTTGGTGTTGTATACATAGTAGGTATTTGACAAATGTTTACTGAACTGAAACATGGCAGACAGTTCTCGCTTTACATAAATTCACATTATATAAACTTGATTTTACATAAAGAATTCTGAAAGAAACTGGCATTCCAAAAAAAACCCTTCATTAACTGTACCATACAATACTGTGCTCTCTCAATCCTGCTCCTGCCCCATCCAGTCATACCAAAACAAGAACTGTCTGCACTCAATAAACAAGCTGCTCAATTGCTCACCAGTAGAGGATCCCTGGAAGGATAACCTATAAATCACAACCCCAACCCATACCTCAAGGCATTTGTGAAGAACCAAACTTTGATAAATGAAAAGCTGGAAATTTCAATCCAAGGTGTTACAGATTATACAAGTATTTATTTGTCCTTCTGTACCACAAGACTTCATTTTAGTGATGGTTGTAGAAAACTTACACTTGAACCCTGTGCTCTACCTCTGCCACTAGAACTCACGCCAGAGGTTTAACATCCCTATTCTATTCTATGTTTAAAATATGTATGAACTGCTTTTTTTCCCCTTATGATTCTCCCCCTTGCAAGTCTTGAAGCACAGGCTAAAGGTTGTTCCAGTGGGGATTCTTTTTTGTGTATGAGCTGTACAAAGGTCAAATGAAGCCCCCAACTTCCCCCCCGAATTAAGTGATTCTGTGAACACAGGTTGATTTCAGATGTAGATCTAGGACATACCTTAAATTCCATCAATAATAGGGGGTGTATGTGGGGGGGGGGGGTGTGTGTGTGTGTGTGGGTGTGTGTGTGTGTGGGTGTGTGTGGGTGGGTGTGTGTGTGTGTGTGTGTGTGTGTGACAGACAAACAATGATATGTTTTATCAATAAACCCCCATTTTTCTCCTCCTGGCAGCCCACTCAGGTTTTGTCGAAGATTCACAACTAAAGCATTCACACCTTAATCAATTTAGCTGATGAGAAACAAAATAACCATTAGAACTACAAGAAAATAGCTTACTTCTTTTTTCATCCATAATTTTAAAGCAGTATGCAATGCCTTGACTCCCTGCACTAAGTAATTTGGGGGCTGGAAACCATCTTCTCTCAATTCTGGAAAATAAAAGAAATAAAGGCAGCAATTTAGGTATTTTATAGGACATAACAGTGAAAGTGGTTTAGAAACTAGGAATAAACCTAAGGAATGTTTTTTGGTTTTTTTTTGGTAGAACCAAAAAACAATAAACAAAAGACACAGACAACATTTGGAAGATAGCTAAACAATAGCTATGGTGGTAACCTAAATAGTTATTATACCATAAAAAATGACAAATATGAAGAATTCAGCGAAACAACAGGGCACTAGTACAGAGTGAAACAGAACAAAGAAAGGAGCACCAAGAAAACAATATATATGATGACAACAAGAACGCAAATGAAAACAATACTAAAAGGTTAAATTCAATTTAAAAGATTAAATGCAATGACCAACCCTGGTTCCAGAGGACATATGACAAAAACATTCCCAGGAGAAGGGAGGACAATAGGTATGGAATGTTGCAAAAGCTTTCTGGGGTGGGTACAGTGACGGTTTGGTTTACTTAACTTTTTTTGTTACAAGAGAGGCTTCTACTGTAGGGGGAAAGAAAAGGAGTGCTATTGGGAAATAATAATGATATTAAACACCAATAAAACATTTTTTAAATGTAAACTAAAAGGAATGTTGGGGTTTAAACTAAAGAAAGGCTGTACACTCACTGGGAAACAAAGCAAAAATCATCACTTTCTGAAAAGAACCCACACACTCCCTCTTCTGTGTCATTCTCCTCTCCATGCCAGGAATGCCCCTCTCCTCAAATCCACAATCTTTTCTGAGATCTTATCTACCCTTCAATGCCCACTTTAAATGCAGTTCTGACTTCTCTAAAATCCCAAGGAACTTAGAATCTCATCAGGGTACATTGTTTTATGGCATACTTATTTTTTTTCTTTTTTTTAAATTATGAATTTGACATACATTAACAAACATGAATACTTCCATGCACATATACAAAGAACAGAAAAAGTATTGCAGAGTAATCATGAGCTTCCATCACACATACCTTGGTTTTTTTTAAGTATGTAATAAATTTAATAATGTAGTACCAACAGTGCCTATATTCATTTATATGCCTTATTTTTCTCTCCCCAGCACAGTTTGATAACATAGCAAGTCTTTAATATTTGTTAAATGAATTTTGTATAATTAGATATATTTAAGTATTTTTAAATGAGTATAAAAAATACAGACATCTTAAAACAGTATGTAGTTAACAATCAACTAGACAAGCTGACAACGGCAGAGTAGGAGTAGTAGAATTAGGATGTAAGGCAACAAGAATATAGCAAAACCAGCCTGACCTCATTTAAAGGCTAGCTAAAAATGAAGAAAATTCTATTGGTTTATTTTAAAATTTGCTCTCATATATACACTACAACTTAGCTGTCTGTGGAAACAAGGCTTGAAAAAATTGTTTTTTTTCTTATGGCCTTGATAGAATCAGACAGGCAAGGTCACTGCAATATGATTGGAAGAAATTATGTTAAAATACAATCTTGATCGATAACTGCTAAATATATTGATTACACCAAGAAGTCAAAGTTATAAGTTTTTTAACTTCTGGAACTAATGCTATTAGATTAGTCTTAGATTTTCTTTATGAAGTCATAGCTAGTCAGACTGCTCACATGGGCTCCTCACCACATTTGCCCTGCTGCCCAGAAAACAGCCTGATGTATTCCCCATTCCTTGCCCAAAGTACACGCACAAAGCAAGGGGGAAAATAATGCGTGGTGAGATGAGTTTTATAATTTTATAGCATGTATACCCCGGAAGCAATGTTCTTTTTTATTCCTGATGTATGATGATAGAAAGACAAAGCACTGAAATATTTTTCTTGTCTCTTCTTTCAGTAAATTTATCTCTATACTCCTATAGGAAATAATAGTTTCCAGAAGTACAATATATTCATTAATATCATTTAAAGAGAAATTAGTTTTATTAGTTGACTGATGAAATTAGACAAAAAATTAAATTGGACATACTATAAACTTTAATATTACACTGGCACAAATTAAATAAGAGAAAATAACTAGAATTAAACTAATAAGAATTAAATTTTACCAAACAATCATTCTTAGATGATAAAATAAAAAGCATGAAATGGTTAACTTTTAATATTCCATGGTAAAAAAAAAAATGGTGGTTTCTGGTTGTCAGGAAATCACAATTATTAACTTTTTTAGCACTAACTTTTAAAAAAATAAACCTTGAAATAAGATTAGGGAAGATGCAACTCAAAAGGCTGGCTTTTGAGAAGTTCTCTGTTCCCCATGAAATACCATTTAGCAAGTTAGGTGCACGAAGAAATAATTACCTTTCAAAGTTTCCAGTAGATTTTTGGCTACAAACCAACATATGGCTTCAAAGAAAGGGAATTTGAAAAGATCAGGTGTTTTTAGCCTTTTCTCCATCTCGTAACACCTAAATGAATAATGTTTAAGGAATTATAATTACTTAATTATAATTAGTATTAAAACTAGATATATTTACCCAACTGATACAATGTTGAGAAAAATAAAATAGGCAGGCCATGAAGTACAAGACAAAGTACTGCACAGTCAAACCTTAACAAGACCACATTTGGACAAGACTGAACTGTGATCTTATCCAGGTAACGGGCTTATCAAGTTTGACTGCTGCACTTGTAAGGAAAATGGTGGACTTCATAAAACTAGGATACAAACCCAATGTGTGATCTTTTAACAGATGGAATTTTATCAGGATTCCACTGTAATAAATAAAAACAATATGTTTAGAAAACAGCTCCACATGCTGGGTAACAACTAAAATAGGTGTTCAGGCAACAGTCCTGACTTTGGGTTGCTCTTTTTAGCACCATGTTGCACACTTGAGTCTGGCCAACCTTTAAATCGTCTTGCTCATTCAATAACTGCCAAAACAGAGCACGTGAATGGTTTAAAGGTATTTAAATTTGGGCAAATCTTAAATTTTTTCACCTGTTGATATTAATTTTTTCTTGAAGAACTGAAATACACTGAGATCTGCTTCAGATAAAATTGTTAAATTAATTTTTAAAAGCCTAAAAAAATTCCTATTTAGTTCCCAGATCCTGTTCTCCAGTGATCCCACTTTAACATATGTTGAATGGTTATCTTTTTTTAAAAGCTTGAAGCATATCCTACTCGAGAAAGGAAAAAATATACACTTTTAAATATTGACAAGACCAACCTGAGCTGCATGCCAATATTAAGGTTGTGCAGAAAGTTTCCTCCAAAAGCCATACAGTCCTGAGATGTAAGCACAGCATGAATCCACCCTGAAATGACAAAATATATCAGCATGAAGCAAAACAGGTGAGAGATCAACAAGCCAAATAGGTAATTATAAGTAGTTAATGGATAAGAATCCCCTTACATAATACACCAATAACACAAGTAAAATGTAAATTATCTACTTAACGATAAATAATCATCATAAAGGTCCAAATATAAGAGAAGGGATTTTAATTTTTAAATACAAATTATTGTACATTAAAAGACTATGCTTATAGTCTAGTAAATATTTTGTGAAATGAGGAAAGTAAAGTTGGTTATAATAGTTACAGGTACTACTAGAGTGGCAATTCTAGGACCTCAAGACAGCCCTGAAATGTTTAGTACCCCGGCAGGGAAAGAAGCAGCTCCACCCAAGATTTGGTTCCACAAGAAGAAACATTGCACCTACAAGTATTCTTCTATACCTGGAAAAGTTCTGGAAAAGCTGAAATTATATAAGGTGAATCTGACTTTTTAAAGCAATATTATAACAGAAATGGTAGGTGTTCAATTTTTAAAATAAACAATTATAAACACTTAATATAAAAGATTTAGTTTTACAGTCAATCCCAAGGAGGTCAAAGACAGAAGGAAAATTTGCATATATACAAAAGTAATAATAGCAGCATTTTTGTGGTAGCAAAGAACAAGAAACAAAGAGGACGCCAATCAATTAGGGAATGGCTGAACAAATTGTGGCATATGAATAGAAAGAGAGCTGGACTTGGAGTCAGGAAGATGTGGATTCAAATTCTACCACAGATATTAACTAGCTGTGTGGTCCTGGACAATCACTTAACTTCTGTGAACCTCAGTTTCCTCCTCTGCAACCTCTAAAGTCTCTTCGAGCTCACAATCAATGATCCTCAATATGTCCAAAACTGAGTTCATTATCCTTTCCTCAAAAACCTTCCCCTCTTCCAAACTTCCTCATTTCCATCAAAGGGCATCACTATCCTTGACATCTCCTAGGATCCACAACCTAAGCATCATTCTCAACTTCTCCCTCAGTTGTCAATCTTGCTGTGTCTACTTCCACAACACCCTTCTCATCTAATCCATTATGCCCATTCACACATCTATCAACTTTCGCCTAAATAACAGCAATAGCACCCTCACTGGTCTTCAATCTCAAGCTTCTCAACACTCCAGGATATACTACAAACTGCGACCAAATCGATTTTCTTCAGTGAAGATCTGACTATATCACTCATCTACTCAATAAATTCCAATGGCTTCCTACTGTCTCTAGGATAAAATATAAATACTCCTTTGTTCAGCTTTTAAAGCCCTTTACAATCTGACCCCAATCTACCTTTCCAGCCTCACTGAACATTACCCATCCATCCTCCTTCTGTATTCTGCGATTCAGCCAAAATGGTCTCTTCTCTTTCCGCAGGACATATGATATGTGACCTTGTCCTGGCACTCTCTCCTTACCTCTGCCTCTCAGAATCCCAATCTTCCTTTAAGACAAAGAACAAACACCATCTTCTGCATGAAGTTTTTCCTGATTCCCCAATCACTAGGGCTCTCCCTTTCTAAATGATGTTGTATTTGACTACTTTGTATGTATTTATATTAATTCATTCATATTTATGCCATCTATATGTACTTGACTCTCCCACTGGAATAAAAGTCCGTTGGGTGTAGAGATTATTTCATTCTTCAAATCTGTGTCCCAGGGCCTAGACAGGGCATTTCACAAAGTAGAGACTTTATAATAAATACTTGCTGATTGATTGAAGAATTCAAGAAACTTAGGATGACTTGTATGAACTGATGCAGAATGATGGAAGAAGACTCAAAAGAAAATTTACACAATGACCACAATAATGTAAAGGAAAACAACAATGAAAGTCACTAGACCTCTGATCCACCTCCTGACTCCCCATAGGTCTGTTAATAGTGAAGTATATAGTATACCTCCCCTCTCTTGCCATAGAGGTTCTATGTAAATCAGTACCAGAACGACAACATAAATAATTTAAAACTCATAATTTCTTAACTGCCAGATTTGATAGCCTTTTCTCAATCTCCTTCTAGACCAGAAGTTCTTAACCAAGGTCCCACAGACTTCCAAGGAGTTCATGGATAATTTTAAGGGGGTCCATGTACTTGAATGGGAAAAAAATGACCGTATTTTCACTAAAATTTAGCATTTCTTTCAATTTGAATGAAGGAACAAATATGATTCTGAGAAGGAGTCCATGATACAAAAAAAGATCAAAGTGCTCTAAACCATTCTGCATTATTTGATTCTATTGACCACCTTCTCTTCCTGGATGCTGTTTCCCCCTTTGGGTTTTCATGACATTCCTCTCTCTTGTATGACCACTCCTCATCCTTCTTTGCTAACTCAACATTCATGTCATGACACATCAACTGACAACTGCCTGCCAGTCTGCCCCAAAGCTCTGCTATGTGCCCTCTTCTTTCTTCTCTTTACACTCTCTCATTTGGTGACTTTATCAACTTCCATGGGTTCAATTATCATCTCTATGAAGATGACATCCAAATCTATATATCTAGCCTTGGTCTGTCTCAAGTTCCAGTCCTAACCATTACCAATTACCTTTTAGATATTTCCAACAAGATTTCTTATAATCATCTCAAATTCAACAAGTCTAAAACAAATCTCATTGTCGTTCCCCAAAATGAACTTGTGAACTTCCCTATTACTGTGAGGGCACCACTAACCTCCAAATCACCCAAGTTTGCAAACTTGATATCACTCACCTATCTAATCAGTTTCTAAATCGTATAATTTCTTTCTCCACAACATCTCTTATATATCAGTCCCCTTCTCTCCATTCATACAATCACCACTCTGGTTCAGGTGCTCATTATCTCTCACTTAGACTATTAAAGTAGATTCTTATTTGATTACCCTATCTAAAATGTTTCCCCACTCCAATTTAACCTCTGCATCAAAGTGATTTTCCTAAAGTGCAGGTCTGACCATGTCAATCACCAACTGATGAACTCAAGTGACTCCTTATTACCTGAAGATCGAATATGAACTCCTCCAGCATCTAAACTTTTCAATCTGGTCCCCCGCTACTTTCCCCAATCTCTTTACACAACACTCTCCTCCAGAAATCCCACAATCACACCAGACTTAGCTAATTGCACTTCTGCACATACAATGTTCCTTCTCCCATCTTCATGCCTCTGACCTGCCTGTCCCTTATGCCTAGAACATACACAGCTTCACTTCTAGGACTTAGCACTGTGCTCAGCATACTGCCTGCCACACAGTAGGCACTTAATAAAAGTTGACTGATTGATTCTACCATTTGGAATCCCTGGTTTCCTTCAAGATTCAACTCAAACACCACCTCCTCCATGAAGCATTTCCTGACTAGTGCTTTCTATCCACAAACTATAGATAGATAGATATATGTATATGTATATGTGTGTGTGTATGTGTGTACATATTCTGTATACACTTACATATATACATTGCTTCCCTCTTTAGAAGGTAAATGACATCAAGAAGATTAAATGGGAAGTTTAATGGTGCTCTCCTGGAGGAATGGGAGATGACAGCCATTTATGTTGGAGTGGAAAGAATGTTTGGTACTTGATTCAATTCATTTTTATATAATAATAATAATGATGATGATGATGATGATAATGATAGGTAACATGTATACAGGGCTTACTATGTGCCAAGCACTGTGCACCTTGTGTTTGATTATATGCCTTTTGCTTTGGGAAAAAAAAAAAGAGAAAAATCAGCTTCTTGAAGACAGGGGCTGTGTCACTTCTGTCTTTGTATCCTCAAAACTTAGCACAGTGCTTGGCACATAAGAGGCACTTAATTCTGATTGACTGATTAAATATTATAGTCCTCAATGTGCTTATCTATTATAATTTGACCAGGACTAAAATAACTGAAACTAAGACCAATAACATGCTTATACTTATACTGAAGTATATTAGAAGAATATAAGCTTAATGATTCCAAAGTATGATGTGCTGCCTAAAAACCTAATATAATCTTATACTGCATTTGAAAAATATGGCTTCCAGAACAAGCCCTAATGTATTCTAAAAGCTGATCAGAACATAACAAGATTGTGTACTAGTCATATGGCCCAGATTTTACAAGGTATATTGACAAGCTAGAAGAAGCACAAACGGTGAATTATAACTATATCATACTGAAGGAACTGGAGATTTTTATCATGGATATGAGAAGACTTTGGGGGAAGGGAACATAATAGTTAATTGACTAGTCACAAATATACAGATACAGCTCAAGAAATTTTTTTTTTTTTTGTTTTGGTGAGGCAATCGGGGTTAAGTGACTTGCCCAGAGTCACACAGGTAGTGAGTGTTATGTGTCTGAGGCCAGATTTGAACTTGGGTCCTCCTGACTCCAGGGCCAGTAGCTCTATCCACTGCACCACCTAGCTGCCCCTCAAAAAACATTTAAAGAGTAACAATGCACCTTCAGATTCTGGTCACATCTGGTTGCAGAGTTCAATGTTCCTTTACCACAATTCAGAGAAAAGAGGAAAAAGAGATAAAGATATAGGCACTAGTCAGTGCACTGACTCTGTTAAGAAAATGACCTTCATGACCTTCCTGTTACCACTGGAAGAAACTTATTACTGTATGTTCTAATTTTTTCATATAATATTTAACATCATTTGAATATAAATATATCTGGATATGTATAGTTACATATTGAATATTGAAAACTACAATGATATGATTCTGGTAACTCATCCTTCCAGAAGGGTACCAGGTAGAACTGGTAATTGAATCAGGAAAAGCATGGCTGGGTTTGACAGTTTAGCCCTTGGACCAGACAGAAATAAATTAAATAAGCTTTAAGGAATCCAGCTATCTGCTCTAAAGACTACTAATGAGGCTAGACCAAGAGTCTCTAACCATACTGATATGGCTTTCCTGGTTTCCTGGTCCCAGAAGGGCACAACAAGACCTACCCACATGGAGTCAGTGCCCTTCAGACCTGATGGATATCTGAAGATCATGAGATTACTCTTGCCTTGCTGACCAGACATGCTTCTATAATAGAGACTGAGAGGAATGGACAGTTGTCAGGTGGCTACCCAAGCTAAAAACTAGAATATCTTGTTTTGTGAGTATCCTTTCTACGTTACAGGTAAGCAAACCTTTTGTTAACCTGAATGACCAAATGCTTCATTTCACTGCAACATCAAACCCAAATCAGGCCTAATATGTGCCAAAGCCAGTCTATAGCTAGATGAGATACCTCTGCTCTATAAAATCTTTGCTCTACAATCCGTCAATCTGTACATTTATATTCAGTCTTATTTTTACATTTTTACATTAATTTACTTAGAAAGTTCCTCCTGAAAAACATAAGCTTCGGCTGATTAAGGGGAAAGGGGTGTGGCCACACAAAAACAAGAAAGCCAAAAGCAAGAGAGTGCCCTAGAGCATTGGTGTGATTGTGGCAGTAACTATTCCCCCAGTTCCCATTCAATTTCAATTCTATTTATATACCAGGCTACCTCTCATGCTACACCAAGTTGTGACTTGCCCAAGATCCCAAAGCTAAACATTTACTAAGCTCCCATTACATACATGGCACTAGGCTAGGCCTGAGGACACCAAGATAATTCCTACATAGATCCTGCTCTTAAGACACTTAGAGCTTGATGAGATAAAAGAAATTTATAGAACAGCTATGATCCAAGAGAGGAATGACACCAATGCCAAGAGGAGGCACAGGCAGCCTACTCAGAGAACTCAAGGAACAGAGGCATTACATGGGCTCTGAAAGGAGCACAGACAGAAGCTAAGGGAGAGGAGAGTTCCTTTTAGGTGGGATGACAATGCAGACAGGCCAGCAGAGCAAAGGGCTGAAGTATGCAGGAGAGGGCTCTACTGAAGGGGTGGGCCACTGGTCCAAGACTGGGTAGATTGAAAACAAGACCAAAATAGCTTACAACTAGTGAGCTGAGGCTTGTTAGAGATGTGAATATTGAGAAATGACTGAATTTTAGAGCCAGCAGGCACCTTAGAGGTCATTTATTCCAGTGCTCATATGTTAGATACGGAAAACTGAGGTTCAGTGAGAACTGCAAAATGTGAGTTACAAAAGTTAGAAACCAGGTAATTCAACTCCTCGATGAGGGGACCAACACTCATAATAGAAGTGACTTGCCTAAGGACACGCAGTTAATAAGCAGTGGAACCAAGCCTAGAACCCGGGTCTTCTGACTCCTTCCCACTACACCCAGCTCTCTCTCTAATATACCAAGGTGTGACTTGTCCAAAGTTACACATCTAGTTGGAAGGAGTCACGATTAAAACTGAGGTTTCCTTATTCCCAGTCCAATGTTTTTTCTAGGATAGAACTAGAAGTCATCTGGAATCACTCAGCTTTCTGCCTAGGACCCTCCTTTACAGATTTTCCCTTGGCAGCTGCTCTTAACATAGTTCTACAAGTCTATCTAAGCTCTACCTGGATTAAGACCCAAGTGATCTTCAAGTCAGACTTCAGGCCCCAGACACTGAAGCCAAATTTACAAAAATCATTAATGAGCTGGGATGGGTCACATGCTTCCTTTGCCATAATATCCTTCTTCTCCCCCAAATCCCCACCTCATCATCCCCTAAGAGATCTCTGTACCAGTGATGACCATTGTCCACATTCCATCTGAGCCTGAACCAGGAACACAGCAGAGATGACCAAGAAGAGGTGGAGTCAGGTTTGGTCTACATTCATCTCTTCTAAATGCTTACTGTTCAAGGCATCCAATGCCCCTTCTCTAAAAAGAAGGTGGGCAGAGACACAAAAGCTACAGTTATATATTGCTTTGTGTTCCATAACTGCAAAGAGCTACCACAAACAAGAAGACAGCGATACTCAGAGTTGCCATCCTAGTCAGGCAACTGTAGAATCAGAGAGCCACACAAAGCACCAACGCCACATCCCAAACTCACCCACCTGACACCTGTTCCTAACTCTACAGGTAAGGCCAGTGACCAATACCATGTCCATCTCAGGGTCTTGGTACCCGGTATAATGTGAATATTAAAGCCCCAGGTTTTTCTCTGCAGGGTTAGGACCAGAGTTTGAGGATGACAAAGGATGGTACTGAAACAGCACCAAGATTAGTAAGCATTGTCTGTGGAGCCCTCAGCAGGGTACTAGAGGCAAATCCCAGGCTGAGGCTATAAAAGGTTAAGTTTACTCATGTCATTACAAAAATTGAAAGGCTGTTTGCTTGAATAACTATAAATCAACTGTGGAGGGGAGAAAAAACTTACCTGTTGGAACAAATAGGGTATGCCCTTGCTTCACAACACACTTGTAGCATTTATCCACTTTTTCACCAAAGTACACTTCACTTTGGGTGACAGATGAACTCCAGGATTCATAGAGTGCTAAATTTTCATCTGTTGGCTTTATCAAATAAAAAATCTTCTCACCCTATGAAGAGAAAATAGGATTTTTTATGAAAATAAAAACCTACAAGTTGACCGAAATGAATCCGAATTTTCATTAGGGAGAACCAAATTAGATATTCTAATCTTCTTTTATTAAGCATAGAAAAGCATATTCCAAATACTTAATCAATAACTGCTAACCCATATGAGCTTCTTCAAAGCTACCGCAGCCATTCTCAAATAGATACCAAAAGAAGCAAAACCAGGACTAAGTCTTTGATCCAAGAATATCATCAATAATTATAGTTTCCAGGATTTCCACAAGCAGCAGCCCTAAACACTGCCAGTGAATTTGAGGCTGACTTCAACTTCAAGGAACTACAACCCTATTGTATAGAATACATCACACAGGTATACCCAGCTATTATTGCATCTACCACTAAGTCTACCATTTCTAACAGGGGTCATGGTTTAAAGACAATGATTTTTGGCTACTGTGGGCAGACTCAAGTAACAAACAAAAACACTCAGACAACAGGTCAAAAACATGAGACTACAGAACACTTAGAAGATTCAGGAGAAAAAAAAATTAAATAGAGAGTGGCTCCAGGTCTGCAACTAAGTCAATGGGCCAAAAGAAAGAAAGGAAGAGCTATTTTAATGGGCAGTCCTGCCCTAACCCACTGGACAACCAGACCTGACCTTGCTCTGAGCAATGAGGCAACTGGAAATTCCAACATCACACCCAACAACAAATACAGGATGGGGGGAAAAAAAAAGAGTTGTCAGTTTTGGTTTGGGAAGAGTGGGGCAAAAAAGCAAAGTACATAGGGTATAAAGTTCTGGAATGCCATCAAAAAACACCTGAGGCACCACTCAGTTACCAGGGAGTACTGAAGAGGTTTGTGATAAGCCAAAAAGGATTTAAGTGGAAATTACCAGATGGGAGTCAAGAATCCCAGGTCCTAGGGTCTAGGTCTACTAAATGTAGCAAAGGGCAAAGTACTTAACCTATTTTTCCTATTATCTCTTTGATAAGATAAAAAAATATACTAACCAACACAGTCCCTTCTAGCTCTTAAATTGCATTTCAAATGAGTTTTACAACAAAACAGAATCACAGAACCTCAGTTAGAAGGAACTCAGAGGCCAACTATTCTAATCCATACCTGAACGACAATCTCCTCTACAATATCTTGCCTCCCACCAAAATGGTCATCTAGTCTTTGTTTCAAGACCCACAGTGAGGATTCCACTACTTTGCAAGGCAGCTCATTTCATTTTTTAAAATCTCCAAGTTTTTCCTACCTCTATATCAGGAAAATCCCAGTTATATTTTACTTCTCCCTCCTCTCTGGCTACCTCCTCCCAGAGACTCCCGGCCAACCACCTTGATGCCCTCACCAGAGACCGCACCTTTCCTCCTATAACTAAAACACACACACACACACACGTATGTCAAAGGGCTGGGCACAGATTTCTGAGGAACCCAAAGACTTCTTTCCAAAGTGCCATCAAACATGAATGACTATTTACTTGGAATGGCCATTCCCTCAGTTTTAAATTCACCTAAATAGACTATTATCTGGCTCTCATTTATCCATCGTGTCTACAGGGAAAGCATGAGAAACTTGTCAATACTCTGCAAAATCTAGCATTTCCAAGTCTGAGAACTTTGTTTAAAAAAAAAAAATGAGATCACTCGGGCAAAATTTTGTAATTGGATTACCTGCTTCAAGTCTACCCCTTCTCTAATCCATCCTACCATGGATTTTCCTAAAGTACAGGGCTAATCATACTACTTCTTATTCCCTCTACATTCAAATATAAAGTCATCCGGTTGGCATTTAAAGCCATTCACAACCTGGCCCTTTCCTATCTTTCAAGTGTTCTAAGACATGACTTTCTTCTCTGCAAATTCTAAGGTTCAGCCATACTACCTACTTGGTGTTCCTCACAAAGGACATCTATCTCATCTCTGTACCTTTTCAATAGCTGTTGTGCCCCAGTGCCTAAAATGCTCTCCTCTCACCTCTTCTTTCTGGGATCCTTGGCTTTCTTCAAGGCCCAAATTAAATACCACAATCTGCAAGAAACTTTTTCCAGTCCCCACAACTGCTTGCCTTCCCTTTAAAGGCTACTTTCCCCCTCCTCTATATCATCTTTGTATGTGTTGTCTCCTCCGTTAAAATAAGGCTCCTTGTGGGTAGGGACTGATTTTGCTTTTTCTTTGTATTCGTGGCATATACTAAGCGCTTGTTAAATGATTAATAACCTGTTCTTAATGAAATGATGCTGGCTCTTTGTAATAACCATTATCTTTTCCTAACATTCATTTACCATCCCTTCTATATTACATTCTAGAATTTTATTGGGATTCTTTTTTTTTTTAAAACTAAACTAACTTCCTTCCTTCTCTAGTCCTATGACTGAGACTGAAACAGGAACACAACAAAAGTCCCCATTTAGCATAATAGATAAGCAAGGAGAGAGAGAGTCTCCATGATCTTTCAAATTGTTGATAGAGAATTGTTAATCATATCTGCCGGTATTTTAGGGTACAGGTCACCTGCACCTGGCATCAAAATCCCTGAAAACTTTAAGAATGAATACAAGAGACCTTATTACAGGTGACTTTAATCTTAGTAAAGCTGAAAGCCAGGTCATTTGAGGGGAATGAAGGATGTGGAAAGGAACTGAGAGGAGAAAGCATAAATAGCTGCTAGAGAGAATATGATAAGGAATGAATCAGATAATAATAAAAGTAGATAAGAGCAGATAACATGACTCTATAGTGGAACCCATCCACAACTGGATACATCCCTGTTCCACCTGAGATGGAAAAAAATGTAACCTGAAAAAAAGGAAAAAGAAGATACATAAGAACTGTGTTTCAAGGAAAGATGAGATGCTGAACTTTCTATTCCATCCACTGGCTTATTTCCTAATTTTTCTTCTCAGTCTAGGCAAATGAAAAACAATTTATTTGGTGTTAATAAATGATTCTATTAAGTAAGTAGGAGGTATAAGGTTAAAGAGACTAAAATAGCAACGTGCTTTGTCTCTCTACAAAGCACAAAAATTCTACTACATACAAATACATGAAATGTCAACGAACAACATTAAGAGTGTATGCCACCCATTCTCACCCAGAGAACATGATACCAGACTGAAGTGCCACCAAAATCAATGTGAAAGTCTGTATAGCTGTCTTGAACTCCCATCAAACAATATTTCTGAACAAATGGCTTAGGGAAGACTGAATCATCAGGCCAGTAATTTTCCACCCAAGAAAGTTTTCGGGCAATATCAGGAACTTCCACCAATTCCGACATCCTTTAAAAAAGAAACATAAAATTGAAAACTTATCAACAATAATGTCCCTCCCCTACAAACAACTCTAAATAATTTTACCTCAAATATAACTATAGTTATAATCAAACTTTAAAAGGAATTACTTCAAAAATTCTCACATTGCTCCAAGCAAAAACATCACCATTGTAAAATTTTTGATGACTGAGTGTGCTTATTACCATACTCAGTTTACCACTGAATTACGCTTCACCCATTAGCAACCCCTAAACCAAACTGTCTAAAACTACTCACTTTGTGTCTGAAAATTCGAGGCTGATCACATTTAACACCTTTGGACGGTTAGGATTCGTGAAGTATTTAACATAATTGTGAAGCTTCATTTTGCTGTCTGCCTGCCTTGCCACATCAATGACATCTATTACTTTGTCACCACCTATGGAGAGAAATTACAGTCTAATTGGTGTTTGAGGAAAAAGTTACCAAAAAAATGCTTAAAATGCCTTCAAAAACCTGGATTAATGTGGGCTGACCACTAAAATCATTTAAAACATTTGTAGTACCAACAAGGACATTTTCTAGATTTTGATTTTTTTAAGTGAAATTAAATACCTTTTTGCTGTTAATGTTATATATAAAACTACTTATACTGTATTGTAAGATATTTCATAAGCTCATGCTTTCAAGCTTAAAATTCATATCCAGAAAAGCCCCCCCCCACACACACACACACAGAGGGAAGGAAAACTGTTAGATCTGTTTAAAAAGACTGGTCTAAATAGTGTCATATGATGAAAAGATCAACAGATTTGGAGTCAGAGAACTTGGTTTCAAACCTGGCTCTGCCACTAGGTCACATGACCTCTCTGGACTTCAGTTTCCTCATCTGCACAACAGAGGGGTTGAATTGTGTTACCATTAAGGTTCTTTCCAACTCCAGATCTGTGACCTTGTATTCAGTTTCTTCATCAATAAAATGAAATTGTATCAGATGGTTTCTGAAGGCTTTCTCTATCTCTAAAGTTCTATGATTCTAAGTCTTTAAGTTCCAAAGAAAGAGATCTGCCTACATCTCCCAGTCAGTGCATTGACACTGTACAAAGACTTTCAGAAAAAGCTATGTATACATGGCGTGTGATCCTGCTGAATCATTCATTACTGAGCACACTATGTTGAGAGTGTCTTCTCTTTAACAAGGTCCTTTAAAGAAAAGATGACTGGATGATGAAAGGCGGTTCTTCTTCTCATCGAGAGAGGTAACTGGATTAGAATAAATACTAAAATATACTATGCATTTCACAACTTCATTGTAAAACTGGGCTTGTTAAAGAGACAGAATAAGGCAGTGATTTAGAAAGTCTGATAAGGAAGTCCACAAAAGATCTTTCTTCTGCCTCAATTCTGGCTTCCATTCGGCAAGTCAACAAGCATTTATTGGGTGCAGATCATAGACTAGGCATATATGTACATGTATGTATGTGTGTATGTATGTGGATATGTATGTGTATGTGAATATGTGTATATATGTGTGTATATGTATGCGTGTATGTTATGTATGTATATTCCAATGACCTAAGAAATTGTAAATTTAGTAAACTTATCCTATATAAAAATTCTTATCTATTCCAAATATTAGGACAATAATCATTTTTACTTATGCCACATCTTCCTCTGGGTATTTTAAAATTTCAGTGTAAAGTTCATACCTACATAACGTTCCACATCCATAACAGAAAAAGTCGGCGGTGGGAGTCTAAGTCCTAGATCATCTATTTTGGGAACCATAATAGGCACATCAAATCCATGTTTCTCCAGGTATCTTTGTGTCAGCTGGCTACCATTCATCTTTACAATGATTTCATCAGCACTAAAAAGAGTTAACAAGAGAGATCATTCATTTAAAATTCAAATAAGTTTAAAGAAGATATTCTAGTGTATATGTATATATGTGTATGTATACAGATATGTACATATGTACTCTAATTCTCTTATCCTGGTGTTATTCTTCCTTGCTAACACCTGAAATTCTCTCTTCTGTCTCCTCTACCAAGGCTTCATATCCTCTCCTGACCCTATTTCAGTCAGGTTTTGAAATTCCTTGTACTTCATCATCTTTCCCCAAAGCCGCTACCTAGAGCCTTAAGCAGTTCTAATTACCCAGAGGTGCCAACATTTCATATTGGAGTTTGGGAATTTGCACAGCAGAAGGAAGGGATGGAAAAAGTCAGTATGGTTGTGATGGAAATAAGCCCCACAAATAGCATGTGGGGAATGTGACCCACCTTCCTACTCTTCAAATGAAAATCACATACTACATGGAATCAGACCAGAGCCCTCACTTCAGAGACCACTCTGTTACAGGAACAGAAAAGATAAAAATCCTTAGGATAATGGCCAAATAGCAAAAGCTGTGCTAATAGAACCCAGAAAATACAGTAGCAGACATGGAATATGCAAGATATTGACACAAATTTGTTATTCTAATAAATATATGCCCTATTTGAATGTTAATATGCTCTTCTGTAACCTTTAAGTAAATGTACCCGTCATGAAAATGATGAATTAATTATACTAAAAATTATTTATATTAGTACAATAAGCTTTATCATGTTTAATTTTTCTATTCTGAACTCAAACATCAAAAAAGAACATAACCATATACAGAGCAAAATACAAAAAAAAACTTTATATGAAACTCTAAGTCTCCATTTCATGTTTCGTTTCCTTTTTTTTAAGTATATACACTTTAATTTTTTAAATAGTATTTTTTTTCAAATTTTAATTTTTAAAGGTTTAAACAATATATTGAGCCCCCAAATAGAAAAATGTCTAACATGAGTAAGTGAAAGCCTCAGGGCCCCAATCCCTTCAAGCTGGGGAGGCTGTCACCCACTGTACACTACACAGAAAAGGCATCAAGTTCCAACAGGGTCCCCACACTTGAGTCAGCAGAGCTGCCCAGAAGTCAACCATCAAATTCTCTGGCCCCTCTCCTTCCCCATCACCACACAGGTTCCAGAAATTGGAGCCTAAGGACCTATTGCCATTGCAGAACCAATAGGGGCACACCAAGGCTGTTTCAAATTCCAAAGCAAACAATAAAAAATCACTACATTATCGGGGGGGGGGGGGGGCAGGGCATAGGCGAAGGCCAAGTAGTGAGAAGGTAACTAGGAAGGGCATTCCAACACATTTTAATTTTTAAATTTTAATTTAAAATTTAAAAAAAATTAATTTAGGGGCAGCTACGTGGTGCAATGGATAAAGAGAGCACCGGCCCTGGAGTCAGGAGGACCTAAGTTCAATTCCAGCCTCAGACACATAACACTCACTAGATATGTGACCCTGGGCAAGTCACTTAACCCCAACTGCCTCACCAAAAAAAAAACAAAAACAAACAAACAAAAAACAAACAAAAAAATTAACTTAAAAGTTGTACGGATGCTTTGGTTTTATATTGCAAATATTTACAGATTACCCTTACACTGAATGGTCTTATAACAAAACATTTAAGTAAAATTGACATAATGATCTCATCTGAAAATGCGTGTAACATTACATATTCATAGCAGCAGCACCCCCAACCCCACACCTGTTTTAAGAATTTTAATTAACAGAATCTTTTATCTCCCTCCCACCTCTCACCATATTGAGAAAAAGAGCAAAGAAAAACAAATTTCCTGTAATAAATATTTATAGTCAAGTAAAACAAATCCTCTCCTTGCTTGTTTGCAAAAATGTCTCATTCTGTACCCTAAATCTATCACCTCTCTGTGAAAAGGTAGATAGTACGTTTCATTATTAGTCCTCTGGAATCATGGATGGTGAACGTACTGATCATAGTTCTTCCAGATTGCAAAGTTTCTTGTTAAGTTGTTACTGTATAAATTGTTCTCCTGGTTCTTCAAATTATCTCATTTTTGAACACTTTATAAATCTTTTGGGGGTACAGACAATAGTGGTACAAACTATACAGTATACAGCTTAGTCACTTTCTGTGTATAATTTCAAATTGCTTTTCAGAATGGTTGTATCCATTCACAGGTCCACCAATGGTGCATCAATGTGCCTATTTTCCAGGATCCTCTCCATTATCTATCATTTTCCTTTTTTTCTTTTTTTTTGGTCATCTTTACTCATCTAATAAGTATGAGGTAGAATCTCAGAATTGCTTTGAACTTCTCTAACTAGTAGTGATTTGGAAGATTTTTTCATATAACTATAGATAGCTTGGATTTCTTCCCTTGTGAATTGCCTTTTCATAGCTTTGGACCATTTATCAATTGGGGAATGATTCTTAATTCTTATAAATCTCTTCTTTTTAAAAACTCTTATAAATTTGAAACAGTTCCTTATGTATCTTAGAAATGAGACCCTTATTTAAGAAACTTACCATGAAAATTTTTTCCTTAGTTAACTGTTTCCCTTTTAATATTAAGCTTTATTGAATGTATGTGCAAACTTTTTTGAATTTTATGTAATGAAAATTATCAATTTTAACTTCTACAATCCTCTTTATCCCTTGTTTAGTCATGAAATTTTCTTCTATTTGTAGCTCTGATAATTTTTTCCATGTTTCTCTAATTTGTTTATGATGTGACAATTTGTATTTAGATCATATATCCATTAGGAAATTATCTTGGTACAAGGTGTGACATCTAAATCTTAATTTCTTTCATATTGCTCTGCAATTTTCCCAACAGTTTTTGTCAAATAGTGCATCCTTATCCTAGTAGCTGAGACGTGTGTGTTTACTGAATACTAAGCTACTAGATTTATTTGCTTCTGTATATCATACGCCTAATCTGTTCCACTGGTCTCTTTTTTTAATTAGCACCAAATTGTTTTGAAAATTACTGCTTTGCAATCATCAAAACTACTTGGTACTAAAAAAAAATCAAGTGATGGATCAGTGGAATAGATTAGGTATACACGTCACTATAGTAATGTACTATTTGATAAACCCAAAGATTTCAGCTTCTGGGATAAGAACTCACTATTTGACAAAAAAATTGCTGAGAAAACTAGAAAACAGTATGGCAGACACTAGGAATAGGCCAACAGACACTAGGAATAGGCCAACATCTCAGACTGTATTCCAAGATAAGGTCAAAATGGGTACATGATTTAGACATAAAGGGTAATACCATAAGCAAATTATGAGAGCAAGGAATAATTTACCTGTCAGATTTATGGAAAAGAGAGAAATTTATGACCAAACAAGACACAGACAGCATTACAAAAGGCAAAATGGAAAATTTTGATTATATTAAATTTAAAAGGTTTTTCACAATAAAACCAATGCAACCAAGATTAGAAGGAAAGGAGAAAGCTGGGAAACCATTTTTTACAGCAAATGTCTCTGATAAAGGCCTCATTTCTAAAATATATAAAGAACTGAGTCAAATTTCTTTTTTTTTATATAAATTTATTCATTTTTAGTTTTCAACATTCACTTCCATAAGATTTTGAGTTCCAAATTTTCTCCCCATCTCTCCCCTCCCCCTACCTCAAGATGGCATGTAATTTGATATAGGCTCTACACATACATTCATATTAAACCTATTTTTACTTTAGTCATATTGTAAAGAAGAATTAAAAGCAATAGGAGAAATCATGAGAAAGAAGAAACAAAAAAAAAGAAAAAGAGCAAATAATACGCTTCAATCTGCATTCAAACTCCATAGTTCTTTTTCTGGATGTGGACAGCATTTTCCATCATGAGTCCTTTGGAGTTGTCTTAGATTCCTGTATTGCTAAGAAGAGATAAGGCTATCGAAGTTAGTCATCACACACTGTGGCTATTACTGAGTACAATGTTCTCCTGGTTCTGCTCATTTCACTTTGCATCAGTTCATTTAAGTCTTTCCAGGTTTTTCTGAAATCTGCCTACTCATCATTTCTTATAGCACAACGTATTCCATTACATTCATATACCACAACTTGTTTAACCATTCCCCAACTGATGGGCACCCCCCTCAATGTCCAATTCTTTGCCACCACAAAAAGAGCGGCTATAAGTATTTTTGTACATGTGGGTCCTTTTCTCATTTGTATGTCTCTCTGAGATACAGACCTAATAGTGGTATTGCTTCATTAAAGGGTACACACAGTTTTATAGCCTTTTGGGCACAGTTCTAAATTGCTGAGTCAAATTTCTAAGAATATAAGTCATTCTCCAATTGATAAATGATCAAAGGATATGAACAGACAGTTTTCAGATGAAGAAATCAAAGCTATCTATAGTCATATGACAAAAGGCTCTAAATTACTACTGATTAAAAAATACAAATTAAAACAACTCTGAGGTACCACCACCTCACATCTATCAGACTGGCTAACAGAAAAGGAAAATGATAACTGTTGGAGAAGATATGGGAAAACTGGGACACTAATGCATTGTTGATAAGAGTTATGAACTGATCCAACCCATTCTGGAGAACAATCTGGAACTATCCCCAAAGGGCAATCAAACTGCACACCCTTTGATCGAGCAAAACACTACTAGGTCTGTATCCCAAAGAGATCATTAAAAGGGGGGAAAGGATCTACATATACCAAAATATTTATAGCAGATCTTTTTGTGATGACAAAGAATTAGAAAGTGAGGGGACATCCATCAACAGGAATGGCTGAACAAGTTGTGATACATGAATGCAATGTAATACTACTGTTCCATAAGAAATGAGCAAGCAGATTTCAGAAAAATCTGGAAAGACTTACATGAACTGATGCTGAGTGAAGTGAGCAGAACCAGGAGAACACATTTTGCGATGATCAACTTAGCTCTTCTCAGCAATGCAAGGATCCAAGAAGCAATACAACACAATTCCAAAGGACTCATGGTGGAAAATGTTATCCACATCA